AAATCATTGTGGAACTGCTAATATTTTCTTTTTCCTACGTGGTTTTCGGCCAGAGGGAATATTGTCTGACTCTTTCTGACTGTTTCTACATTACTGGAAACATCAACGTGATGCATTTTTCAGTGACTTCTACATATTTTGTGTATACATGTATATAGTTTTGCTTCTTTAAGTGTATGGTGTGTAGATTTGCTTTTTAATTTTGTAGGCACTGGCCTATTCTGTTCTTATTCTTCTCTAAGTAATATTTAATTTTACAGATGTAATAAAATTTAACTTTTCAGCTGGGAATTTCCAGTAAAAGATACAATGATTTGACTGTTTTTTTCATTGTCTTTTGAAACTAAAAGATCTAATTTAGTTGAAAATAAGAAATATAATTTGCTTTTATAGACCAAAAATATTGCTATTTTAAATTTTGATTGTACTGTCTAGTAATGATAGAGTCTAGTATTTATTAGCTATGTCTATCCAGTCTAGTTTCTATATGTTATATAAATTTTTAAAAAACAGTTTAATTTTTTAAAAATTTATTTTAATTCTAGTTTGTTAACACACAGTGTTATACTAGTTTTGATGTGCAATAGTGTGATTCAACACTACCATGTAACACCTGGTGCTAATCACAAGTGCACTCCTTAATCCCCATTATCTATTTCACCCATTTCCTCAGCCCCCATCCCAAAACCATCCGTTTAATATTTTTGTTTTGTTTTTTAATTATACTCAGTGGGCTCAGTTTTATGCCTTTCAGAAATTTTTCTTTTAAATAATTGTACTAAATCAGATAAAAATATTTTATATATTTATACATTTTGCATAGTTAACCTCTTTTTGTACTTCCAATATTCTCATCATATGCCTGCATAGTCCATTAATTTCCACAAAATTCATAAGTAAACTTAAAATTTAACACTCATCTTTCACCCTCATTCTCAATGATCTCAGTTTTAGTATGTGGTAGAATGACAATATAGGTAGCTGGAGTCATAACCTGGATATGAAGTTATGAAGCCTAGTACTGCTTCTTAAGCCTCCAAAGACAAAATGATAATTTTATTTATATATTTATTTTTAAGTTTATTTATTTTGAGAGAGAGGGAGAGAACAGGGGAGGGATGGAGAGGGAGGGAGAGAGAAAATCCCAAGAAGTTTCCACACTGTCCACGGAGAGTCCCACGTAAAGCTCAAACACACAAACCAAATCATGAGATCATGACCTAAGCTGAAGTCATGAGTCAGAGTCTTAACCAGCTGAGCCACCCAGGCTTCCCAGAATGATACTTATATAGGTCACCTCTTCTCTCTCTCTCTCTAGTTACGTGCTCCTGCTTGTATTCTTTATGACACTTACGGTGTACGATATATTATTGGCTTGTTGGCCTAGCCACTGATATATTATTTATGGTACAAACAGTTGTTGAGGGCCTCCTATGTGTGAAACACTCTTCTGGGTGCTGGAAATGCAGTTGTGAAATGAACAAAGGAGGCAAGGTCCCACTAGAATGTGAACTCCCTGAAGACAAGGCCTTGAGCTTGGTTGACCAAGCTGACAGGGAGCCTGGTACCAAGGGAGGTATCCCAACCTCAGGAGAAGCTGCTGCTGGGATGAGATGGGAGCCTAAATTCATGGGGGCCTATTGGAAGCTTGGTGACATGGGAGCTGCTTAGGGTTGAAGGAGCCTGCCAGGATTTTGGGGCCATAGGGGCTGCCTGGAACTGTGGATGCCAACATAATCTAGGGTAGATCAACAGATGAGGTTCATGGGGGCCCACTAGGATCTGGGAGTCAAGTAAGCTGCCTGAAGCTTTAGAGATCTACCTGGGGCCTCTGGAGCCAGTAACACTGGTGTGACTTGGGGCCTGGGTTTGCAAGCCTGGAGGGAGTCTCCTAGGGCTACAGGAAGTTTCCTGGTGCTGAGGTGGGCCAGAGGTCTGTGGTGAAGTTAGGTATTCACTATACTCTAATTCCCCCACAATCCACACAGGGCTGCCTAGGTCTGGGGTAGGTGAAGGATCAGGTGAGTGTGAATCTTTTCTTACTTCTGTGTTTCACCCAATTGCTGTATACCTTAGCTAGAATCCTTGGCTCTTGTGAAGGCATTTTTGTGAATCATTCTTTTGGTTGAGGGATGAGTCTAGAAATTCCTGTGCTGCCATTTGCTGACATCACCCTGCAACCAATTCTATGACATTTAAATTTTTTTAATGTTTATTTATTTATTTATTTTGAGAGAGAGAGAGAGAGAGAGAGAGAATCCTAAGCAGGCTCTGTGCTTTCAGCACAGAGACCAACATGAGGCCTGATCTCACGAACTCGTGAGATTATGACCTGAGCCAAGACCAAGAGTGGGATGCTTAATTGACTGAGCCACCCAGGCCCTAACATTATGACATTTTATTTTTAAATGTGTTTTTAATGTTTATTTATTCTTGAGAAAGAGAGAGACAGAGCATGAGTGGGGAGAGGCAGAGAGAGAGAGAGAGAGGGAGACACAATCTGAAGCAGGCTCCAGACTCTGAGCTGTCAGCACAGAGCCTGATACAAGGCTTGAACTCATGAGCCATGAGATCATGACCTGAAGTCGGACGCTCAACCGACTGAGCCACCCAGGCACCCCAACACTATGACATTTTAAATGCTTACCTTTATCATTAAATTTTTACCAAATATCCTCAAGAGAAACAGGATTATTATAGTCATTTTATAAAAGAGGAAGTTTAAGTCTGATCTTGTCACTATAGTTTGCATTTTCTAGTTTTATATAAGTAGAATCACACAGTATGTACACTTCTATATCTTCTTTCACTCAGACTAATTACTTTGAGATTCATCAAAGTTGTTGGCTAATCCAGTTATGTTAATGGGCAGTTGGATCTTTTCTAACTTTTTGCTATTACAAATAAACCTACTATGGATGCTCAAGTACAAGTCCTAAAGAGATCTATGTTTTCTTTTCTCATGGGTAGATAGAAATGGAAAGGCTAGATCATATGGTAGGTATATAGCTTTTTCAGAATCTGCATACATACTTTCTAAAGTAATTGCACCATTTTACATTCCCAAGAAGAACATATGATGGATCCAGGTCCTCTACAACTTCACCAGCACTTTGTATAGTGAGTGTTTTTCATTTTAATCCTGATACTTGGGTAGTAGTCTCTCATAGTGGTTTTAATTTGCATTTTTATAATGATTTATGATGTTGAACATATTTCCATATTTTTATTTGCCATCTGTACATGTTTTTTGGTGAAGTGTTTGTTCACATCTTTGGCCCATTTTTATTGGATTGCCTGTGTTCATTATTACTAAGTTTCGAGAGTCAGCATATGTTCCTGATACAAATCCTTTTTCAGACAGATGCTTTGTAAATAATTTCTTATAGTCTGTGACTTGTATTTTCTTCTCTTATGAGTGTTTTTGAAGAAAAGAATTCTTTCATTTTGATGAAGTCCAATTTATCACCTTGTACTTTTATAGATTGTTTTTGACTTTGTATATAAGAAATATTTCCCTACCCAAAAGTTGCAAATATTTTCTCTTTTATCTCCTAAACATTTTATAATTTCTTTATTTGGGTCTATGATAAATTTTTGTATCAGGTGCAAAGTATGGATCAAACCTTCATTGTTTTAAACATATAGATATCAGTCTTTCCACTACCATATATTGATGACTCTTCTTTCTCCATTGTGTTTCTACTACTGTCAAAAAATCACTGTCTATATACAGCTGATCCTTGAACAACATAAGTTTGAATTGTATGAGTCCATTTATACATGGAGTTTTTGATAAACACATTTACAGTACTGCAGAGTAAAGTACTATACAGAAATTATTTTAATATTTTTTTCTAGCTTACTCTATTGTAAGAACACAGTATATAATATGTATAACATACAAAATATGTGTTAATTGACTATGTTATCATTAAGGCTTCTGGTCCACAGTAGGCCATTAGTAGTTAAGTTTTTGGAGAGTCAAAAGTTATACACAAATTTTTGACTGTGCAGGGGGGTCAGTCTTCTTCACCCCTGTGTTGCTCAAAGGTCAACTGTATATGTAGGTCTGTTTCCTGATTAGTGATTATGTCTCTCATTTCTTCTGTGCATAAGAATATTTTACTCCTTCTTTTCTAATTAGATGTCTTTTTGTCTTATTTGATTTACTGGCCAGAACTAGTATGATGCTTAGTTATGAGAGTGACATCTTTGCCTATTTTCTGATCATAGGGGGGAAAATTCAGTCTTTCACCATTAAATACAGTGTTAGATATACATTTGTTTATAACTTTTCTTTATTAAGTTGAGAAACTTCTTGTTTTGCTGAGAGTTTCATCAAGAATGGATATTAAGTTTTTAAAATCTTTATTCCTTTTTTTTTTAGTTTATTTATTTTGAAAGAGAGAGAGAGAGCAGGAGGGAGAGAGAGAATCCCAAGAAGCTCTACTCTAGCAGTGCAGAGCCTGACATGGGGCCTGAACCCACAAACCATGAGATCATGACCTGAGCCAAAATCAAGAGTCAAAGGCCTAACCAACTTAGCAACCCAGGCACCTCAGCCTCCTTCAATTTTTTAGATTTCTTGTGTATGTTTTCTCACCTCTAAAATGGGCTTACTTCACCATGTTTTTGTCATCAATCTTAAATGAGAATGTACACAAATACTTGTAAATGATAAGTCTCTCTGAAATATTATTACTTTTTTCTCAGAAGGTTATATTTGTTTATGTTGTCAGATAATACTCTCTTTTAACTTATCAACTAAACCTGTAGGGTGATCAAAATATCAAACAATAAGTAAGAACAGACCTGATTCCCATATATTTGTTAAAATTTTATAGGCAAAGATTTTGGAAAGTTTCCACTGTATTATCATTTATCTGGGCTGAGTCTAGCTGGGGTAAATTATGAATACTCAAAAATATTGAGCAAGAATTATTTTTTATTCTAAAATGTGATTACTTTTGTTTAAAGAGGAGGCCATAAAACAAAGGTACATGTCAATCTTTGAATTTATTCTTTATTCAGGTAAAAACTCATGTAGCAGGAAAAACAATGATGTTACAGCCTTCTTTTTTTAGGGGGGCATGCATTTCAAGAAACATGTACTTCTCCATTTTGATCCAAAGATTCAGTGACCAAAAGTCTATGATTATACAACTTTCGAATCAACTTGATTCAATTCATTAAGTTTAAAGTACCAAATTGCTATCAAAGTCTGAAGTTGTCATCATAGACTATGCTGCTTTTGTAAATCACTGTATGAAAGAGATTTCTATAAAGATCCAGGAGAAAGAAATGCATTACTGTGTGGAACCATATTTGTAACTAACATGCCTACAGTCCCCTGTGGTATGTGTTAATTAAATGATGCAGCCCTCATCACTTAGTCCTGCAATGCACACTGGGCATCTCAGTAAATTTTGTTTTCACATAAGCAAGTAGCCTTGCACTTTTCCTTAAGCAATTCGTGTCCACAGCCAGCTGTTGTCTTCAAGGAATCACAGTTACTAAGGAGATCTTCATACTGGCAGCTATTGGCTGTGACAAAAACAAATTAGTTGCTTCATTATCATATCCTTAGTAGCAGCAAAACAATCCACACATTCAAAGTGCATGAGGTGGGTAGGAGGCTGGACAAAACGAGTCAACATCACTTACACAATGATGGGCTTTTCCTTTCTTAAGGGACATATCAGGTGCCTTAGCTGAGCTCACTGAACAATCTATCACTTTTTTATTTTGAACGTGGTGATGTTTCTGAAATGAATTGACCTACATTTCTCCCTTAGTCAAAAGAGTAAAATGAATATAATTAAATCTCTACACCTGCAGTCTAAAGTGGGAGTCACTAGTCACATATAGCTATTGGAATTTAATGTATTCTAAACTAGATAAAATAAAAAATTTAGTCCCTTAATCTTACTAGCCACATTTCAAGGGTTCAAAGTCCACGTGTGACTAGGGACTACTTTTAAGACATATGCTGATAGAGACTATTTCCTTCATTTCATGCTCTTTAACAACACTGTTTTAGACTCCAATGCTTTCTTTCTGGAGAAAGAGATTTCTATGGGAAGATAAAGTTGTAAAACAATGATAATATGCATTCTTTCCTTCTGGTATTTCTTGGATCCTCTCCAGGAGCCAGAAAGTCAACAATTTCAAGCTAAACTCATCATGCTGCTCACAAGGTTGGCAATTCTTGGGTATGGTACCCTCGTACCCCTCCCACAATCTTAGGGAAGGGCTCTCTGACTACTCAGTAATTTAGGCCAGAACTGAATCAGTGTGAATTTCATCTTTCCTACTTCTGATCAGCATTCAACCAGCACAGGTAACAAACCCTAGATACTCTATTCCTTGCTTTCTAGCCCTGTCCAATTCTCTGCATTCATTTTTGTCAGTAATGCAGTAAAGACATCTTTTTTTTTAATCTATAATTTTCAACAGTTTTCTAGCTGGCTTCCATCCAATCATTTCTATATACTATTGCTAGGAAGCTTTTTATAAAATATGGTTCTGACCCTGTCACTCTTTTGTTTAAAACCTTTCAGTTGAGTGTTTATTGATACTAGGATAAATTCCAAACTTCTTAGCAAATAGCATTTCAGCAGAGCTATAAATATGTAACTCTTTTTCTTCTTTAGTTGATTTATAGATTTGACATATCAATATTATTAATTATAGCTATACAATCCAGTCAGTAAGAATGTTAACTAAAGGTGAATGTACCTGAAAAGTAAAAATCTCAACAAATGATATCCATTCAACTCTATTATTCATAATAATTTTAATCCAAGCATCCCAACTATAAAGAGCTAACAGCTATATTTACTACTATTCATTACAACTTTAGAAATCATATATATGACATTATTACTGTCTCCTGTTGCAACAATATTTGTGTAGGTCTATGAGCCAATGCTATATACAGATTTGATTTTGTCATTAAAAATGTGCACTAAACTACTATCAAAACACAAAGAGTAATTAATTAACCACTGTGATTCCAATTATACTATAGAAAAAAGCAGTAATCCATGATGAACTCATTAGTACACAAAAAATATAATATTTGGTTTGCCTGTCTAGATTGAGCTATAGTGTGATCTTATACCCATAGATTTGCATTTTAAAAATGACTTTTGATATAATGATATTAACTTTGATGAAATGAACTATTTACCAGAAATATGTATAGTTAATATTAATGAGTTACATTAGTTACAAAAATACATTGATGGTAGATATTTCATTCTTACATGTGGTAATATTCTTTTCATTGCAAATAATGTGTAGGTTACTAAAAGTGTGTAAAACATTTACATAAACACACATTCTGTTGAGTAACATTTGTCTTTTGCAGAAAGCAATTATTTAAATTGGTTCCTTTTGGAGATTTCTTAACCCATAAAAAGAAAATAAAATATCAACTTTTTATTATAATAACAATGTAATCACTTCAAACTTACTGCATAGTCCATCCTCACAGTTACCAGGGCAACTGGCACAAGGTGTTCCTTGTTGGTAAGGGGTATTCTTTTTACTCACATTGTTACCGCTGAAATTTATAACAAATAACTTTCACTTCACAGTTTAGTTTATACTCCCCAAAGCAGTATAAATCACCAAATATACATGACTATTAAATGTTCTTAGGTATGTTAACAAAACTGAAAAATTTTAATTCCCAGTGAGTAATTTGGGTAACATTCAAATTAAGAAACATACTTGACATACTGACCCATGTCCTTGTCTATAATTTTTCATGCTGAGCAACTAAGTCACATTAATGGGAGTGTAAAGTTTTTAGGGTATATTTCAATGTGGCAACACTCTTTAATCTCCTGCTAAGTGTCAAATTGGCAATCCAGTACACCTCACTGTGAGTGCTAGGGGTTACGGCATATCCCCTTGACAGATGAAAGAGCCCCTGGGGCACAGGCATTGTAGTTTGGAAAAGATATTTAATGTTACTATATCATTTTTTATTTGAAAGATAATAAAATACCAAATTTTACACTATATACACATTTTACTTTTAATGGGGAGTAGTAATATTTAAGTAGTTAGTGGTGTATGTAGGGGGTACAGGAGAGAAAAAGAAGGTTTGTGAATTTCTAGAGGTGGTATGCAAGAGATTTTTAAAGGGAATGTTAATTTTAACAAGTTTTGACAAGCATGAATATTGAGTATAGTCACATTATAGTGACTAACTTATAACTCAACTTATGATCATTACCTATTGTCCATTTAATTCATATGAAATACAAGGGAGTCCAAATATCAATAGTGTCAAGTGGGCCAAAGACACAAGGCCGTGCATTTGAATCTCAGCCCCTGCACACAATATACCTGAATGTGTGTGAGCCCCTGGAAAAATGTGAAATAGGCACAAGCATGCTCTGGAAGTTCTCTCACCCCTGCTTTCCCTCATTATTCACTGCAGCTCTCACTTCAGATGAGTGGCTTCAGATTCTCCTATTACAGCTGGCAATGAATTTGGATGCATCCTCCTAGGAACTTTCAATTCCTTCTACTAAACCATCATAGGTGCTTGAGGAAAAATGACATTGGAAGTCATACTTCTCAAAAGGGAGATCCACATACTTGGGTTATCTACAGTCTCAAAATAAAGCCTGAAGGAAGCTTGATTTTAGGGGTCCCCCTGTCCCCAGTGGCAAGAAATTTCAAACATTTAAAGACACTAAGGTTAACAGATATGTTGAGATTAGATCTTCAGTATATCCACAGCACTTATTCTGGGTAAGTTCAAACATAATCCTTAATGAAAGAACACATTTCCTGCTACATGTCAGGACCTTAAAGGATGGTTCATAATGGAGATTTTGTGCAAACTTCTGAAAGACCAAGAGTAAGGATATTCTTTTCTGAAATCTAAGATACATTAAAGATCTCTTGAAAAGCTTTTGAGAGCCAAAGGACAAATCATCTGTGATGGTAATAATGGAAGTGGCTTTCTAGATAAGCAGGGGTAGGAACATTTTAGCAGAAAGAGCTGAAATCACAGTCAGTCATTCCCCATTTGCCACTCTACTTCCGTCCCTTGCTTCACCATCAAGCTGCCCCCCTGCTAGGGTATGAAGTTAGTGAGAACTAATGATATCAAATCTAGAGAAATGCACACTACCCAGGCTCATGGAATAGCTGTGGGCCCAAGGGAAAGATGACAGAGAAAAGATGTCACTCTGTAATTGAGGAAAGAAGGTTTCAGATTTTACACTTGGAATTGAGAATCTGGTCTCTTCTCTGATAATTGAATATGTCACAACTTAAAAGGCATTTCCAAAGATTTATCCCTTTTGGATAGACCTAGAGGATATTATGCTAACTGAAATAAGTTAGAGAAAGACGGATACCACATGATTTCACTTGTATGTGGATTCTAAAAAACAAATCAAGCAAATAAGCAAAAAGCAGAAACAGACTATAAATACCAGGGGGTGGGGGATGGGTAAATTGGGTAAAGGGGAGTGAGAGGTATGAATTTGCAGTTATGGAATAAAATAAAAGGTACAGCATAGGGACTATATTCAATTGTATTGTAACAGTTATAATAGCATGATGACTGATGATAGCTACACTTGTGAGCATAGCATAAGGTATAGACTTGTCATCATGTTATATACCTAAAACTAATATGACACTGTGGATCAACTATGCATGAATTTAAAAAATGAAACAACTATTTATTCCTTCCATTTACTGAAATGTTTTATATTCCAGTTTGTTTACTCTGTAAGAATTTTAAAATATTAAATAGCACATAGGATTATTGTGTTAAACTCTAAAGTGTATACTTACGCAGGACAATACTGGCAAACATAGTAGTATTTTAGACTTTCTTGATTGGGACAATAGGCAATTCCACATCCAATGCGGAAAGAGGAGTACCAAACAAGCTACAAATCCAAAAAGAATATATGAGTACATTAAAGAAGAGGGAAAATATTGGAAAAAAAAACATGTAAAACTGAAAACATGGTACTATTGTAGTTTGTAGCCAAGTATCTTATGGAAATATACAGTTCAATTATTGAAACAAAGTCACAAATTTTAAAATGGTAAATTTTAATATATATTCACTATTTTATCCAATTTTAATTTAGAAAAAGTATGGAGTGTGTTTCCTTACCAAGAGTTTTGCAAACTATGGGAAAAAAGACAGCTCTAGATGAAGTACCAGCTAATGCGAGGACTATTCTATCTAGTCAGGCTCTTACCCAAATTAAATATTGGACTTGGTCATAATTTAAAATGTATTTAACAATTTTGAGAGAGAGAGAGAGAGAGAGAGAGAGAGAGAGAGAACACACAAGCAGGGAGGGGCAGAGAGAGAGAGAGAGAAAATCCCAATCAGTCTCCATGCTGTCAGCTCAGAGCCCAACACGGGGCTTGATCTCATGAGCCTGAGATTGTGACCTGAGCCTAAATCTAGAGTCAGGCACTTAACTGACTCAGCCACCTGACACCCTATAACTTGGTCATAACTTTAAAATGCTTTCTATATTAGAGCATTTGTGGCAGAAGTGTTTTCATTTGCTCTCTTTACCTGGGTGTAATGTCCAACAACTGAACTGGGACTCTTAGGTCCTACACCATAAACAAAATTATTGCCTTCCTCATACCAGTTTTGGATCGCATTTGACCAGGAAGTAGGGTCACTTGACATATAGAGATTCTCACCACATTTTGTACCTAAAAAGAAACATAATTCATAAAGAAGCAATAAAATATGCAATGGCAAAAGCAATCAATTATATGAACACAAGGGTGTTGCCTTTCAAACATAGTGCCTGTACTTGCTGACTCTTAATACATAGTTAAAGGACTTCCATCCTTATCAGCTATAAAGATGAATAGAAGACAGATCTGTCTAGCATGTGAAGGCTGGGCTCAACATGTACAACTCTGAGTAGGTTGAGAAGATCTTATGATTTAAAAATCCTCTGGATTGCTAAAATTGCATTTGTTTTCATGCTAAATTCTTCACATGTGTAATGTCTTCTATGCTCTCAGCTTTGTACTGTATATTTGCAAAAAGCAGTAAATAACTTTTATTCTTTTTCTCTTCTTGTTCACCCTCATCAGAGATTGTTCACATACTGCACCCTGAGTAAATGTGTATGATTATGATTTTGTGTGAACTTGGAGAAAAAGATCTACAAGCAATTTTAAGAGCTCCAATTAAGACCCAAATGACATCAGCAAGGATGGCAGTGTTCAAAGCTTTTGGATCCTCCCTTAATCAATAAATCAGAATGTCATAAGGCCAAATACTCCTCAAAGGTTTTGGGAAAAAGAGCCTTGCAGAGGGTGACGTCAGGAAGATGGTGGAGTAGGAAGGCCTGGATTCTCCTTCTCCTGACTAGAACACTGATCCAGCACAAATTTCTGAACAAATTGCCATTATGAGAAATCCAAAACTAATCAAAAGGCTTCCATACTCTAGAAGAATACAAGCCCAGACTCACTGAAGCTTGTAGGGAAATTGGGCCATCCTCTTACTAGAATATCTACCCTCAGCACAGTGCTTGCCATAAGATCAGGAAGAAATCCCATATCTCCCAGCTTCTCCCAGAAGAAGGAAAGAATTAGTTCATGTGCCCAGCCCCCTAAAATTTCCCTAAGAAAACTTCCCAGATGGGTGGCTTCTGTCTTGTTAGTCTTGGAGCTCTGGCACTCAGGCACAGGCTAGCCACTTGGAGGAGAATGGAGATGGTGGCTAGGGCTGGTAGATATCACATCTTCTCTCCCTGGCTCAGCACAGAGCAAGCAAATGAAAAATTATAGTTCTCAGCTTCCTCCTTGGGAAGCAAAGTGTTGATTGGTGTGTCCAATGCCTTAATTTCTCCAGGGCTGCCCAAAGAACTGACATCTGTCTTGCTAGTCTTAGAGCTCTGATGTGTTTGGCACAATCACAGTCTTGTCCCCTGGGGGACAATAGAGATGGTGGTTTGGATTGGTAGATGCCACAGTTTCTCTACCTATCTCAGAAACAGAGCCTGTTTCTCACAAAGGTGGGAAAGGGTTGGGCATCCAGTGCCACAGCTTTTCCAGATGCTGCCCAAAGGGCTGACTTCTGACTTGCGTCTCTGAGAAAGTTAACAGACCTTGCATAACAAGATGTGGGGTTCATGAGAATAAAGATTTGCCATAGCTTCTCCTCCAGGTTCAGCATAGAGTGAGGAGATAAAAATTCCAAGCTTCTAGCCTCTTCCTGGATAGGGAAAAGAGTTGGATGGAATGCCCGACGATCTTTTATTTTCAGAGACCTGCCTGAGGAATTGACCATTGATCTTCTCTGACCACAATTTAAATAGACATTTTCCAAAGATGTTCATATGACCAACAGGAATATGAAAATGTGCTCAATGCTGCTAATCATCAGGGAAATGCAAATCAAAATGATGAGATATCATCTTATACCTGTAAGGATGTCTATGATAGGTGGAGAAAGGACATATAGTAGAGAATGAGGAGAAATTGGAATGGTGTACACTTTTGGTGGATATAAAAATGGTATAGCTGCTATGGAAAAAAGTTCTTCAAACTTAGAGGTTCTTCAAAAAATTAAAACTAGAATTACCAACGATCCAGTAAAAGCACTTCTGAGTGCTTATCCAAAATAATTGAAATCAGGTTCTTAAAGAGATATTAGTATTCTCATGTTCATTGCAGCACTATTCACAATAACCAAAATGTGGAAACAACCTAAAATCCATGGGCAGATGAACGTATGAACAAAAACACACATACATACAATGGATGCCACTCATCCTTACAAAAGAAGGAAACTACATTTGGGTGAGACAATATGGATGGATCTTGAAAATGTTAACTGAAATAAGCCAATCACAGACAGATAACTACTACATGATTCCACTTATATGAAGTACCTAAAATAGTCAAATTCATAGATTTGAAGAGTAGAATAGTGGTAGCCGGGAATGGGGGAAAGGAGAAATGGGGAGTTACCAATCAATGGGCATAAAGTTTCAGATAAACAAGATGAATAAGTTTCAGATGAATAAATTCTGCTATGCAACAATGTACCTAGACAACAATATTGTATAGTACATTTAGCTATTTGTTAAGGGTGTAGGTCTCATGTTAAATGTTCTGACCATGATAAAATTAATTAAAAAAGGAAAGAAGTGACTTGTTGCCCAGAAACTTCTCTCTGTCTTCTCAAGGTCTCAATTAATATTTACATTTTGGTAGCTTGAAGTATAATGTCTACATGCTGCTTAAAGAAAGTATAAAATATTTTTGGCTATCTTCTTCAATATGGAAAAAAGAAACTAAGACTCTTAACAGTAGTCTTGCATCATTAAAACCATTTGTTTTCATCATCTACTGAATGCTGTCATTCTCTTCATAATTTCAATAACAGATTAGCATCAATAATATAAATGATAATTGTAATGAAAATATAGGTAAAAATTTATTACTTTCAAGTTGAGTTGCCTAAATGCATTATGTTTGATAATGTAATAAGTATTTTATGTAATATTTATGCATAAAAGTATTTTTTCTTTCATAGTTTTTATAATCCTGGATATCTTATAGTTTTTTATTATAATGTATTATCTATGCATATAGGCCCACAGTCCATACAAAGTAGTTAGCAAAAATTCAAAACTTAATATAGGCAAAGTATTCATCATAATTCTAAAAGCTTAAGAATTTTTAGAATAAAATTCAGGGAAAAACACAATTTAGTATATTTTATAAATATAAAAGAAGAGATATCAAAATGCGAAACAGCTACACAATATCACAAAAAAGGCAGTAGACTAGAAATCAATAAGCCTGGTTATACAACTTCAGAATGTGCTTTTAGGTCATTTCTCCCATGTCCCTAATCTTTAAAGTTAGAGACATGACATGATGACTGTTGACTGTTGACTCATAAGCTGGTTGAGAGGAACAAATGAAGTATTGCTTCAGAAATTACTTGCATAATGTAAAAAATCAAAAGTACTTTGATTTTAAAAAGAGCAGTATAAGCAACATTTATTTACTAGATCTTCTTACAAGGCCCCAGAATGTTCCATTCTATTTGTTATTCCATAATAACAAATTTATTTGATTTATTTAACAGATATTTGCTCATTTACATACTAGTTTTTCGGTCCTCTGCATTGCTGTGTTCTAAAGTGCACTTGTTTGCCCATTTTTGGGCATTTGCTGCTGCTTCTCTGTTCCATTCCTAAATGTCATAGAAAAAAAATACACTTAAAGATTCAACTCCAAAGAAGTGCATGCTTTATAATATGCTTGGTTGGTTGATTTGCACTACTTTAAACTTCTGTAGGTATATTATCTAATTGTCAGTGGTATGAAAGACCTTTTTGTTAGGGGAGTGTGTGTGTGTGTGTGTGCACGTGTGTGTGTGTATCTACTCCAGTACCAATTTCCACATGAAAAGAAGTTCATAAATGAAGTGTCTACTGAGAGAAATACCTAATACAATAATATCTGGCAATTTATGGCAATGATTGTACAGGAACTATAGGCAGGATTTTTAGTAATGGGGCTACTCTAAATACCCAACATGTGAAGTCACTGAATTATATTTCCTTAATAATAAACAGGCCTAGATTATCCCCAATTTCACTCATAGCCCATTACATTCAAATGGGAGATATCTAGCTTTTATGGACTATTCCCTGGAAAGTGGCTGTTATTTACCCTAAATGGCACTGATTTTGAAGGAAAGGGGACTCCTAAGGAGTGCCTGGCTGGTTCAGTTGGTAGACCATATGACTCTTGACCTTGGAGTCCTGAGTTTGAGCCCTACATTGGGTTCGAGCCCCACTTACAAAAAATAAAATATATGAAGGAAAGGGGACTCCATTATTTTAGACTAAAGTGGAGAGTGAACAAAAAGTGTAATGGCTTCACAATTGATGTCTAAAGATTTGGCTTCTAGTTTTTGCCCTTCCCAACTTAATAAGCCCTATAACCTTGACAAATAATTTAACCATTATAAAGGAAAATTAATTTCTACTTTGCTCATAACAAAGCTCAAATTAAATAGCAAAACAGATGCAAAACTTTGAAAGTCACAAAGTTCTTAAGAAATTCCAGTACCAGCTCCCTGGTCTTACCACCACTAGCCTTTATCACTACTTCTTACCATCTTCAGCATGTTGCTCGCAGGTGGAGAGACTGATTTCCTTAATTCATTGTGTTTATTTACAATCTCTTTTTGGATTTGAGTTTGAGTGGTTAACAAAGCAGTAAAGGATGGATCCTAAAAGGAAATAAAATTAAGGTTATCTTTTTTAACATTTGTTAAAATTGCGTATGGGGGGGATAAGTTATTTCGATGGAACAAAGATCACCTTAAAGAGCATTCAGTTCAGGCTCATAGCAGTTGTTAAGCATTGCCAATGGACCTGAGCCAAAGTGGTGACAAATAGAAAAGAAGTAACTTGAAGCTTCGAGAATGAGGATAAATCAATGGCACGAGAACTTAAAATCTCCTCCGACGCCACAGATGCCAATTTCTAGTTTCAAAGGAACTCTTAATGTGCCTTTTCTCCTTTAATGGTCCTTCCCAATCTGTTATCTCTCTGGCCATTTCCTGGTCTTCATTTATAAAATTATCTAAAAGGGAGATATATTTTGCTCTTTTTTTTAAAATATTTTTTAATTTTATTTCTAGGAGAGAGAGAGAGACAGCGTGAGCAGGGGAGGGTCAGAGAGAGAGGGAGACACAGACTCCGAAATAGGCTCCAGGCTCTGAGCTGGCAGTCAGCACAGAGCCCCACGTGGGGCTCGAACCCACAAACCGCGAGATCATGGCCCAAGCGAAAGTCGGACGCTTAACCGACTAAGCCACCCAGGCGCCCCTATTTTGCTCTTTTGAATCACTGTTTTCTAATAAGATTCTTTCCATACCTTCTGCCCCATATGGTTTTCTCCACCTTCTCTATGCTTATTCTAGGCATAAGACTGATAATATTTTATAACCACAAAGGCACACAATAGGAACAGTAAGACATACTCATTCGTATTCAATCAGGCTGCAGCAGGAGGGATAAGGGTGGAGCTCAAGATTCATCTTGGACTTTAAGGGAGTCTTAAAGTCTGCATTACAGAATACCAAGTGAGTTTTGACCCAGTATCAGGATTCTCTGGTCTGATGAGTTCTAGCCCTAGTAGTGTCTGTGGTCCTGGGATGTCCTCTTGTAAGACCAGAGTTAAAGAAAAGCTGAAACAGCAATGACCAGAGTTTCTCACATTCAGAGATTTTCTGACCAAGAGATAGACAGTTTATAGGGACACATACCCTCTAATCATTGAAGAGGATGATTGCTTTTGTTCTTGGGATTATTTAAGCAAAATAGCTTATTCTAATTGTAAGAGCTGAGTTTAACAGTAGGGCTCCCACATACCAAGTCTATGAGCATGAATAGCAAAGCAAAACAAACACTAAGACCTTTAGAAGGTGTACATTTTTTAAATGTAAAAACTAGGTATACTTTTACTGTACAGTAATGATGAAAATCAAACATGGTGATGTATAAAGTTGTGTTAATTTAGGTCCATAAGAAAAATAATTCAAGCATAATATGTAATATTAACTTTTTGGTGGTCACATTAAAATAGTAAAAAGAAGTAGGTAATATTTATTTTATATATTTTTAAATTTTATTCATCATGATAAGTGTACTCTTTAAACGTTTATTTATTTTGAGAGAGAGAGAGAGAGAGAACATGCGAGTAGGGGAAGGACAGAGAGAGAGAGAATTCTAAGCAGGCTCTGCGTTGTCAGCTTTGAGCCCAAAGGGGAGCTCATGACCTGAGCTGAAATCGAGAGTCAGATGCTTAACTAACTGAACCACCCAACTGTCCTAATAAGTGTACTCTTTAATCCCCATCATCTATTTCTCTTATTTCCTCACCCACCTCCCCTCTGGTAACCATCTGTTTGTTCTGTATAGGTAAGAGTCTGTTTCTTGTTTTTATTCTCTCTCTCTCTGCCTCTTGCTCGCTCACTCTTTTTTTCCTTTGTTCATTTGTTTTGTTTCTTAAATCCACGCGAGTGAATCATATGGTATTCATTTGTCTTTCTCTGACTGACTTATTTCACTTAGCATTATACTCCCTAGCTCTATCCTTATTACTGCAAATGGTAAGATTTAATTCTTTTTAATGGCTGAATAAATAAATAAATAAATATGTATATAAGTGAATATATAAATATATATATTTATTTATGCCACATCTTCTTTATCCACTCATCTATAGTGGATACTTGGGCTGCTTTCATAGTTTGGCTATTGTAAATAATGATGCAAAAATATAGGGGTAAATATAGCTTATCTAATTAGTGTTTTCATATTCTATGGGTAAATATCCAGTAAGGAAATTACTGGATAATATGGTAATTCTAAGTTTTTGGAAACCTCCTTCCTGTCTTTGACAGTGACTGCACCAGTTTGTATTCCCACCAACAGTGGGAATATTTTTTCTCAAAAACCTTTCCAACACTTGTTGTTTCTTATGTTTTTTATTTTAGCCATTCTGACAGATGTGATGTAGGGTATTTCAGTGTAATCTTGATTTGCATTTCCCTGGTGATGAGTGATGGTGAACATCTTTTCATGTGTCTGTTGGCCATTGGCAGGTCTTCTTTGGAAAAATGTCTGTTGATGTCTTCTGTCCATTGAAAAAAATTTTTTAATGTTTATTTTATTTTATTTTATTTTATTTTATTTTATTTTAATTTTATTTGAGAGAGAAAGACAGAGTGTGAGTGAGGAAGGGGCAGAGAGAGAAGGAGACACAGAATTAGAAGCAGGCTCCAGGCTCTGAGCTGTTAAGCACAGACCCTGATGCAAGGCTCAAACCCAGGAGCCGTGAGATCATTACCTGATCCGAAGTTGGACACTTTAACTGACTGCGCCATCCAAGCACTCGTCTTCTGTCCAGTTTTAATTGGATTATTTGTTTTGGGGGTGTTGAGTTGTATCAGTTCTTTATATATTTATGAGATATGTCATTTGCAAATGTCTTCTCCCATTCTGTAGGCTGCCTTTTAGTTGCGTTGTTTTCTTCACTGTTCAGAACCTTTTTATTTTGATGTAGTCCCAATGGTTTATTTTTGCTTTTATTTCTTTTGCTTCAGGAGACAAATATAGAAAAATGTCCCTACAGCTGATGTCAGGGGCCTTACGACCTGTGATCTCTTGTAGGACTTTTATGGTTTCAGGTGTCACATTTAGGTCTTTAATCCATTTTGAGTTTATAATTTTGTGTATGGTGAAAGAAAGTGGTCCAGTTTCATTCTTTTTCATGTGGGTGTCCAGTTTTTCCAGCAACAATTGTTGAACAGACTGTCTTTTTCCCATTGTATATCCATTCCTCTTTGTTGAGGATTAATTGGCCATACAATTTATGGGATTATTGCTGGGTTTTCTGTTCTGTTCTGTAGATCTATGTGCCTATTTCTATGGCAATACCATACTGTTTTAATTACTACAGCTTTGCAATACAACTTGAAGTCTGAAATTGTAATACCTCCAGTTTTGTTTTTCCTTTTCAAGATTGCTTGGCTATTCAAGGTCTTTTGTGGTTCCATACAAATTTTAGGTGCTTTGTTCTAGTTTTGTGAAAAATGCTGTGGGTATTTTGATAAGGCTTGCATAAAATCTGTGGATTGCTTTGGGTAATACCGACATTTTAATAATATTTGTTCTTCCAACTCATGAGCATGGAATGTGTTCCATTTATTGGCATCATCTTGAAATTCTTTCATCAGTGTTTTATAGTTTTCAGAGTACAGATCTTTCATGCCTTTGGTTAAGTTTATTCCTAAATATTTTATTGTTTTTGGTGCAATTATAAATGAGATTGTTTTCTTACTTTCACTTTCTGTGCTTCATTTTTAGTGCATAGGAATGCAACATATTTTTGTATATTGATTTTGTATCTGTGACTTTTCTGAATTGACCTATCAGTTCTAGTAGTTTTCTGGTGGAGTCCTTTGTTTCTTTTTATATGTAGTATCTGTTATGTGCAAATAGTGAAAATCTTACTTCTTCCTTACCAATTTGGATGCCTTTTATTTCTTTATGTTGTCTAATTTTTGTGACTAGGGTTTGCACTATCATGTTGAATAAAAGTTGTGATAGAAGGCATTCTTGTCTTATTCGTGACCCAAGGGGAGAAGCTCTCAGTTTTTCACCATTGATTGTGATGTTTCTGTGAGTTTTTCACATAAGGATTTTATTATCTTGTGTTCTCTCTAGATCTACTTTGCAAAGGCTTTTTATCATGAATGAGTGTAGGACTTTGTCAAATGCTTTTTTTGACACCTATTGAAATTATTGTATATTTTTTCCTTTCTCTTATTCACATGATGATTTATGTTGACTGTTTTGCAAATATTGAACCACACTTGCATCCTGGGAATAAATCCTACTTTATTGTGGTTTTTGGTTTTTAATGTATTGACATTATTTTAAATAATACATTTTATTTGTAATGGGTTGACTAATAGTCTACAAAAATTGTATGTCTACGTCCTAATCTTCAGAGTTTTTCAATGTGACCTTATCTGGATAAGTCTTTTTAGATATATTTAAATTTAGGATCTCAAGATTGAATCATCTTGGATTATTCAAGATGAAATTCATTCTTATTATTATTCAAGTAGGTAATAAGTACTGATAAGTATCTGTATGAGAGACATGGAGAGGGGAAGGAAGACAGAGAATAAGTGATATAGGCATAAAGCTTAGTAATCCCAATGATTGGTGGAAGCCACCTGAAGCTAAAAGAAAAACATAGAACAGATTTCCTCCTAGATCCTCTAGAGGGGGTGTGGCCCTGCTGACACCTAGATTTTAGGCTTCTGGTCTCTAGAACTGTGAGAGAATAAATTTCTGTTGTTCTAAGCCACCTAGCTTGCATTTATTTCTTACAACAGCCCTCAGAACCTAATACATTATTTAAATATTTATCTAAAATGTAATTTCATCATGTGTTGAAAATCTAAGTTATTGAATACATTTTCTTCTCCTCCACCTTCTTCTTTTTTTTCTTCTTCCTCCTTCTTCTTTTTTTTCTTCTTCCTCCTTCTTCTTCTTTTCTTCTTCTTCTTCTTCTTCTTCTTCTTCTTCTTCTTCTTCTTCTTCTTCTCCTTCTTCTTCTGTACTAAATCTTTCAAATCTAGTGTGTATTTTATATTTACAGTATATCTTGTTTTGGACAAGCCACATTCTAAGTGTTTGATAGCTGCATGTGACTGGTGGCTACCATACTGGAGAGCTCAGATAATTGTGTGAAGTGATCTGAGCTACCAGTCAGTACTCTGTGATGTCCAGTCTTGCTCCTTCTACTCTCAAAGGACCAAGCCATCCCCAAAAGATGCCTAGATAGCTTTAGAAATACTTTCCAATTTAACATTACCTTTCCTTCTATGGGCAAAGGCGGAAGCAGCACTGCAGCCAGAAACAGCACTACCGGGAATAAAGCCATTGCTGGAAAGTAAGTCAAAGAGAACAAAGTTCTGCATTAAAATATATAGTGCACAGTCTTCTGACTATGAGGAAAAAAACAATATAATGATCTTGGTTAATTTAATGAAACCATAATTCCCAGATTAATAAAAAATGTAACAAGATTTCATTTGGTGCCAGCAGAGTCATAGTATAATCAACTTTGTCACTGATAGGGACAAAAAAATAAATGGAAACATTTGATTGAGGCCCTTGAAACATACCTATAAAGGCTAGGAATATATTATCATGTTTCTGCCCAGCTCTATTGCTGCTAAGTCCATTAAAATTGTGGAAAAAACAGATTTCTTCAGAGTTAATTGATACTGTAATGATTATTCATCCCAATCTTTTGGGAAAGTTTATTTTCAATATGCACCATCTCTCGGTGTTCTACAAAAACAAGAACTGTTTGTTCTTTTATTGATACATGACTTTAATCAAGATTCCAAGATTATTACTATACAGAAATAAATGTACAAACACTTTATTAGCGGTTATTTCTCCAGCAGAGTAATTAGAAATTATTTTGATTTTATTCCTTATACTTGTCCATATCTCAAATTTCCCAGTATAAAAAATAAAAATACAAGTAATATATTGAAAACCTAGCCTGTTCAAATTTTCTGAACTCATGATTTGGTAAAAAAGTTGTTTGAGCACTGAGTAATTTGACAATAAACTATTTGTAAAAAAAAAAAAAAAGACAAAAAAAGACAAAAAAAAAGTTGTTTAATATATTCACTAGCTTTTTAAAAGGCACTCAGTATTGGGTGGCCTATGTATCCTTTCTCAGTATGTCAAAAATATCCTTGGTCCTTTAGCTGAAGCAACAAGCCCACTATGCTTTAAAAAGTACTCATCTTCTGGCCATTAGTCATATGAATTACTCACTTCATAAACTAAGGGAATGCTATATTGATTTCTGTTCTTCATGTGAGATTAGTACTCCCAAAATCTTGAAGAAAAAGAAAACTCTAAGCAATTTATCTGTGGTACTTCTCAGGACTTATTGATGTGTAAACAGTAGACAATCAATACCTGTTCTATGCATTCCCTTCATCCTACACAATGTGTTTATAAAAAGGAGAGGAATTAACATTTATTGACAGTGTAATGCAAACTTTGATGTCTAATTTTACTCTTATGCCTTGGTGAGTATGACTATATTTTACAGATGAAGATATTGAAGATTAGGCTATTTTACCTATGCCAATGGTAAATTCTTAAGTAACTTCAGAAATTAGCCTTCAACCAAGTAAGGTAAAAGCCAATGCACATGGAAAGGAACATTTTTTCACCTAAGAAAAGCAATCATTTTGTAGCACACTGGAGGCACTCATCTCTATTTTAACAATACCTGTATTCATACATAACCATACTTGTTCATAGTAAAATTATCAATCTGGAAGTATATATAATATATACAATTTGCCATATACTACATTTCTTCTAGTAAAGATGGTTCTAGAAAAATTGTTTCAAAGTCATAAACATGAGAATTATCTATATTATCTACTTTAAGCCAAAGTGTAAAGAATTTAAGTTTCAACTTGAGGGGTGCCTAGGTGGCTCAGTCGTTTAAGCATCTGACTTCGGCTCAGGTCATGATCTCATGGTTTGTGAGTTTGAGCCCTGCTTCGGGCTCTGTGCTGACAGCTAGCTCAGAGCCTGGAGGATGTCTTTGGATTCTGTGTCTCCCTCTCTCTCTGACCTTCCTCTGCTCATGCTGTCTCTATCTCTCTCTCAAAAATAAATAAAACATTTTAAAAATTTTAAAAAAGTTTCAACATGATGAAGTGAGTAAAGAGTAAAATTAACTTGATTCTCTTAATAAAAACTTATCCATAAAGTTTTGAAAATCATGGATAAATGTATTAAATATACCAATTTGCCACTGGCAAAACAAAGATGACTAACACATAAAATGTTCACATTAAAATAAATGAGTTTTCACTTACTGTTGGTAAGCAGGATGAAGTATTTGCTTTATCTGCAGAAAGAAGGGAGATGGAGAGGAGGTTTGAGCACAATATATGTTACATCTATTTCTGTTTTAGCAAATTCTGGTTGTGCAAGTAAATCTAGGTCAATAAATTTCTGAAACAGAATTTTTCACACAAGTATCTTCAAATTTCATTGCTACTTGTCTGAAATTGCTTTTGGTATTATTTAGTTTCCATACAGCTTTTAACATGAATTAATAGAGCATGCCTTCCCTCCCTAACCAACCCTCCCCTCTTAGGCACACTAAAATCTGGATGCTGCTATATTATTTTTATAATAACCACTGATGATTGTTTAATCATTGTGAGGCTAACCAGGGTCTTTCATTACGGCTGAACTTCTGTGGCTCAGCTTTCTTTTACTTCCTAGTTACCAACTTTCTACAACTTTTAAGCATAGTCTTTGGAAATTATCAGTTCTGAGAAATCCTATGCTTCAGTGTTCTCTTCTGTAAAATGCAGACTATCTTATCAATAACTTTGCTCTGCAAAGTGCATGGCACAACATACATAAAGCACCTAACATAGTACCTGGCATATAACACTCAGTAAATGAAAGTTATTAATATATTATGATCCTTTACAACGCATGGTAGTTTGCTGAGCTTATAAGAACTTTCCATAAATGCATGCTGTTTAATTGAATTACTAATTTTAGAAGTGTTATAAAATCTCTTCTTACATCTGAGTATCATAGGGAAAACAATCTGCATAATCTAATCAGAGATTCAAATGTTCAAGGCCCAGTTCTACTAGGAATCTTATAACTTTAAGAAAATGTTCTAATATCTGGACTGTTGTATCCTCATCAACTCATTGATAGATGCACACATTAGCCAGGTAATTTTATATAGCTCACTCATTCAATGGGATTATATTAGATAGCCCACCATTCCATAATTCAATAGACTATGATGCCACATATTCCTCCCTGCCACTCTCCTTTACCCTCACTCTCACTTATCTAACCTATATTCATCTTTCTTGCATCAATGAAAGCAATGGCAAAATCCACACTTATACATAGCTGAAAAGTTGGCTACCATTTTTTCCCTTGCTACTTACTAATGGAAAAGTACTGTCCCCTTCCTTGCAGGTGTTTTAAGACTGGGATGACATGGTTCTAAGGCATCTGTAGGAAGACCATGGTGTTCAGTTTCATAATCCTAGAACAGGGGGAAAAAAGACAATATTTCAAATAAAGTTGAAAAGCATAAATAGGTAGTATCACAAACCTAAAGCTTAACTGTGTGTAGTATTACTAATACTTTTAGTATTACTAATACCTTCTGTGTTTAGTATCATTAATATTAGTACTTTGTATTTATTTGATCTTACCATTAAGAATCCTTCTGAGATCTGATTATAGTTTGATATCTTGGTATTTCCTTCAAACAGTACCAAAGAAGTGGACTTTTAATCAAGTTCAATTAACTATTGTTTGACTGACTTCCTTGGAATAACAAGGTTTATTTTCCAGATTCCCAAATCCTTATATACTCTTTAGATGATAATTCCTATAAGTAGTCACCCACATAGCAACCTTTTATTACATGGACTTGGGGTCACATCTACATGTCTTTTCTTGGAAGCCAGTAGATGACATGTAGTCCAGAAGAGTCAATACCCATCATTCTAGTTGCTTGCAATATAGAGTTTCTATTTTTTAACGTTTTCTTAAAAAATTTATTTCTGAGAGAGATAGATAAAGAGAGAGACAGTGTGAGCAGGGGAGGGTCAGAGATAGAGGGAGATACAGAATCTGAAGCAGGCTCTAGATTCTGAGCTAGTCGTCAGCACAGAGCCCAATGTGAGGGCTCGAACCCACGAACGTGTGATCATGACCTGAAGTCGGACGCTTAACTGACTCAGCCACTCAGGCGCCCCAATATGGAGTTTCTCATAACGGGTGTATTCAAAACAGAAATAAGAAACTAAAGTTCTTAATTTGACCTCATGAAATGCCTGATTGACAAATGACTTCAGGCTTCCGCTCTGAATCAGAGCAGTTCATGTAAATGGAGTGATTCATCTTTTAAGAGAGGTAAAGAGTTCCAACTGGATAAGCATCGAGAGGCATGCTGAAAGTCTTTGGGGGATCAGAGACAGGCAACAAAACCGAAAACTCTCCGTCCATCTGCACTGATCAGCCGATGTGCCCACCAGAGTGCCGGGAGAGGCGCGGCCACCAGAAGACCCCTCACCCCACAGATCTTTCTCTCTTGTCTTCACCCCACCTCCCCGGCCCTGGTCACTTCCTTCCCCAGACTGCTCCAATTCTTACCCTGGCTCCAGAGCCCAGATCTTCCTGCAGCGGGGACGGAGCCAGAGAGGGGCTGCTGCTCGCTGCTTGGACAGCGAGAGTAAAATACTCATCCAAGCAGGTGTGAGCCAAGAGCTACGTCACCGGGCTTTGTGCCCTCAGCGCAGTCGTCAGCGTGCTGAATTCCCACAACTGCCTCATCTCTCTCTAATGCCACGCAGGTAAAATCCTGTACACTTTCCCTCGAGGGAGGGAAATGTCTGCCCCCACAATTGAACAGTAGGAAGAAGATGGAGATAATACCAGGGTTCGAAATGCAAAGGAGGTGACTGAAAAAGGAGGTGCTCCTTTTCAGACAAGAATTCCTGAATTAACACAGGTCAGAATTTAAAGAGCAGATTGGTAAAGGCCATAGATGCCTTAAGTTTTCAGTGCAATACCAGTCTGGTACAACAGTGTATTCAGGGTTACATAAAGAGGGCATTTTGCAGGTTTGCTTATAAACAAACCTAGTGTTCAAACTTAGTTTAAACAAATTTAGTTAAACAAACTTAGTGTTCTTTCTCCTCTTCCATTCCAAAACAGTTTTGTAGTGAAGAAATTCAACAACAGGAACAGGAACAAGTCTTAGGAAAATGCCCAGAATCCAAGGCAGGTGGCTTCAAGTGCAGCAGGTATATCTGGCCTTGGTTGAAGAGGTATTGCCTATCTTCATAGGTGACAAATGAGTAATAGATGCACTTTCTTCTATGCTTAGTTATTTTCAAGATTTAAAGGAATGAATTAACTCATCACACAGAGGATACATTTTGTCGAAAGATGATTAACCAAAGATTAACATGCATCACCTGTTAGTTCCCTGTACTCCCTGCAAAGAGGCTTGAAATTTCTCATTCCAACCTTTGAGACTATAGCATACTGCCATGTCTCATAGTGCTGAGTGTCATTTTCCCCAGACAATGTTAAAATTCCAGGTGCCCAATGCACAGACCTTATTTTAGTTCTTTTGTAGTGCTATTTCAGTTCAAGTACCACTAACTAAAAGCTTTAGAATTTAGAAGCCATCCTAACCTCCATTACTCTTATGGTTATGTTCAGTCAAAATTAACTTCTGACAGTTTGCACTTCTGACGGTTTATAAAATTCAGCCCCAGATCTGTCTTTCTCACTATTACATTCATGTTTTCATTGTATCTTGCTTTGATAATTAATTTAACATTTCAATTCCTTATGTCCACATAGTTGCTAGTCACTTATTTATAAATACAATTGCTTAGTCCATTTGGTTTTTTTTATTAGTGCAACATAATTCATTGTTTTCTATAATAGTCTATACTTTACTGTGAATATCCTATTTTTCATTCTGGGAGACAGCATACCTATAATTATTACCTATTCCCATTGATGATGTCAGAATGAGAACAGCCTGAATGTGGTAGTGACAGATATTGTGAGAAAATATGTATTTGAGAAACGGACTGTATCTCTTTGGATTATTGCCAAAAACCTATATGTCCAAAGCCTAACATGATACCAGTTACCTGAGTAATAGTTTGTAAATATTTGTTGAGTAAGTAAATATACTGACTTGCCCTAGATTCTTAAAGAATGCAGAGAAAAAGGCACATCATGTCTTTCCTCTAAGACATACAGTACTAGAGAAAAATACATACACAGGAACATTACCAGGTAGCCTAGTTTAGTGCTAAATAGCTGGAACAGGAAATACCTACAATAATTGGAAATTCTGAGCTGATATCATCTGGATAAAAATTAGATGGTAGAGTGACACTTGAGCTGCTTTGAAAAATGTATATGACTTGATCAGAAAAAAAAAGTTTTGAACATTTGTTTGGAAGGGCAGAAACAGACAAATCAATGCATCACAAGGTGTATATAAGTCAGAATGATAGGCTGTTAAAATGTTGGGGTAACTTTCTATAGAAGTCTAAGAAGATTTGCTTCTTTATGTAACATGGGACAGTATTTTCACTGAGTGTTGGGAAATTTTGTGATCAAATATTCGGAATGGAATATTACTCAGCCATGAAAAAGAAAAATCTTGCCATTTGCAATGGCATGGATGGAGCTAGAGAGTATGATGCTAAGCAAAGTAAACCAGTCAGAGAAAAACAAATACTATATGATTTCACTCATATGTTGAATTTAAGGAAAAAAATGACCAGGGGTGTCTGGGTGGCTCAATTGGTTGCACGTTCAACTTCGGCTCAGGTCATGATCTCACAGTTCATGAGTTCGAGCCCCTCATTGGGCTCTGTGCTGACAGATAGCTCAGAGCCTGGAGACTGTTTTGGATTCTGTGCCTCCTTCTCTCTCTGACCCTCCCCTGATCATGCTGTCTCTCTCTCAGAATAAATAAAACATTTAAAAAAATGTTTAAAAAAAAAAAACAAATGAGCAAAGGTGGGGGGAAGAGAGAGAAGCAAACAAAGAAGCGGGCTCTCAACTATAGGGAATAGACTAATGGTTACCAGAGGGAAGGTCAACAGGGGGATGGGTTAAAGAGGTGATGGGAATGAAGGCGTGCACTTGTGATGAACACTGCGTAAGGTATGTGTAATATATGTCATTATATTATATATCTGAAGCTAATATTTCACTGTGTGTTAACTAACTGGAATTTAAGTAAAATTTTTTTTTAAAAACCTACCCAATAACACTGTGCAGGGTGACTCATGGAATGGAGAAATTGGTGACAGAAAAAATAAGATGGTGACAATTTCCCATATTAATTTTTGAACAGTAGAAATAGGAAAAATGGTTGGTATGTCAAGTGTTTAAAAGAGCAGTGTTGATGATGAATTTGGTATGGAGGGAAAACTCAGAACAGAAGAAAGCTTGTAGGTTTTGGGGCACCGGAAAATACATCTCCACTATTGAAAGGAGCAGTCAAGTGCTTTCAAATATTCAGGTAAAACCAGAAGTTAACAGTGTGTTGAGCTCAAAGGAGTAGTGTTGAAAATGCCTGAGAGCTTGGGGTAGTATCTTGCATGGATTTTGCAGAGAAATCCACTGTAATTCTTATCTTATTCCTTTACATGTAATATGCTCACCTACCCCTCCATCCTGTACACAAATGACATTGCTAAAATTGCTTATTAGTTCTTATACCTATTTTATAGATACCTATGGTTTTCTACAAAAATCACTTTAATTTGCAAATAAGGACAGTTTCTACCTTTCCTTTCTCTTTGTTTTTTTCTTTTAATCACTTATGTTTTTCATCATGGTCTGTGAACTCTTGAATCCCCATCACCTATTTCATCCATTCTTCACACCCACCTTTCCTGGGGTAACCATCAGTTTGTTCTCTGTATGTAAGAGTCTATTTCTTGGTTTGTCTCTCCTTTTTTTCCCTTTATTCATTTCTTTTGTTAAATTCCACATATGAGTGAAAGCATATGTTATATGTCTTTGTCTGACTTATTTTGCTTAGCATTATGCTCTCTAGCTCTATCCCTGTTGCTGCAAATGGCAAGATTTCATTCTTTTTATGACTGAATGATATTCCAGGGAGAGAGAGAGACAGAGAGAGAGTGTGTGTGTATGTATCATTTCTTTATTCATTCATTTATCTTTGGAAAACATGGACTGCTTCCATAGTTTGGTTATTGCAAATAATGGTACAAAAATATAAGGGTGCATATATCTTTTCTAATTAATGTTTTCATATTCTATGGGTAAATATCCAGTAGTGAAATTACTGAGTCATATGGTAATTCTAATTTTAATTTTTTGGAAACCTCCATACTATCCTCCACAGTGGCTGCACCAGTTTGCTGCCCACAACAGTGCACAAGGGTCCCTTTTTTTCCAAAAACCTCTCCAACACTTGTTGTTTCTTGTGTTTTTTGTCTTAGTCTTTCTGACAGTTGTGAAGTGATATCTCACTGTAGTTTCGATTTGCATTTCCCTGATGGTAAGTGATGTTGAACATCTTTTCATGTGTCTGTTGGCCATTGGTGTGTCTTCTTGGGAGAAATGTCTCTGTTCATGTATTCTGTCCATTTTTAATTGGATTATTTGCTTTGGGGGTGTTGAGTTGTATCAGTTCTTTATATATTTTGGATACTAGCTCTTTATGAGATATGTCATTTGCAAATGTCTTCTCCCATTCTGTAGGCTGCCTGTCAGTTTTGTTGTTTTCTTCACTGTTCAGAACTTTTGGTTTTGATGTAGTCCCAGTAGTTTATTTTTGCTTTTATTTCCTTTGCCTCAGGAGACAGATCTGGGAAAATGTCCCTACAGCTGATGTCAGGGGCCTTACGACCTGTGATCTCTTGTAGGACTTTTATGGTTTCAGGTGTCACATTTAGGTCTTTAATCCATTTTGAGTTTATAATTTTGTGTATGGTGAAAGAAAGTGGTCCAGTTTCATTCTTTTTCATGTGGGTGTCCAGTTTTTCCAGCAACAATTGTTGAACAGACTGTCTTTTTCCCATTGTATATCCATTCCTCTTTGTTGAGGATTAATTGGCCATACAATTTATGGGATTATTGCTGGGTTTTCTTTTTTTTTTTTTAATTTTTTTTAATGTTTTACTTATTTCTGAGAGAAAGAGAAAGAGAGAGAGACAGTGTGAGCAGGGAAGGGTCAGAGAGAGAGAGAGAGAGAGAGAGAGAGACAGAATCCGAAACAGCCTCCAGGCTCTGAGCTAGCTGTCAGCACAGAGCCTGTCGTGGGGCTCGAACTCACGAACCATGAAATCATGAAATGAGCCAAAGTTGGATGCACAACTGACTGAGCCACCCAGGTGCCCCTATTGCTGGGTTTTCTGTTCTGTTCTGTTGATCTATGTGCCTATTTCTATGGCAGTACCATACTGTTTTACTACAGTTTTGCGATGTAACTTGAAATCTGAAATTGTGATACCTCCAGTTTTGTTTTTCCTTTTCAAGATTGCTTGGCTATTCAAGGTCTTTTGTGGTTCCATACAAATTTTAGGTGTTTTGTTCCAGTTTTGTGAAAAATGCTGTGGGTATTTTGATAAGGCTTGCATAAAATCTGTGGATTGCTTTGGGTAATACAGACATTTTAATAATATTTGTTCTTCCAACCCATGAGCATGGAATGTGTTTCCATTTATTGGCATCATCTTGAATTTCTTTTATCAGTGTTTTATAGTTTTCAGAGTACAGATCTTTCATGCCTTTGGTTAAGTTTATTCCTAAATATTTTACTGTTTTTGGTGCAGTTGTAAGTGGGATTGTTTTCTCAATTTGACTTTCTGTGCTTCATTATTAGTGCATAGGAATGCAACAGATTTCTGCATATTGATTTTGTATCCTGTGACTATCCTGAATTGACATATCAGTTCTAGTAGTTTTTTGGTGAAGTTTTTTAGGTTGTCTATATATAGTATCTGTCATGTGCAAATAGTGAAATTTTTACTTCTTCCTTACCAATTTGGATGACTTTCATTTCTTTTTGTTGTCTAACTTCTGTGTCTAGGACTTGCATTACCATGTTGAATAAAAGTATTGAGAATGGACATCCTTGTCTTCTTCCTGACCTAAAGGGAAAAGTCCTGAGTTTTTCCCTAAGACCTTTATTTTGTTGAGGTATTTTCCCTCTAGATCTACTTTGCAGAGCTTTTTATAATGAATGGATGTTGTACTTTGTCAAATGCCTTTTCTGCACATATGGAAATGATACCTGCCCTCACTGCTGAAGGAGCTGAGGTCCAGCAAACCACACAGGTTGGGAGATGTGGTGTTGACAGAATTTGTGGTGTCTTCTAGGGGAGGGGAAGGGCACACAATGCTGGGAAGGAGGCAAGCATGACTGGGAAGGGTGCATCCACGGATACATGGGGGGGTGCACACTTGGTGCAAGCAAGTTAGGTAAGAGTGTTCGTGCCTATTTCCCACAGGTCGCCGTTGTTTATGCTGGGGGTCAGGAGAAGGAAATGGCACTTGCCAGGTCCTTTGTTCCTCGAGGGGTCTTCCCATGATTTCTCTCCCTCCAGGTGGCACTCTGAGATGAACAGATCACTCTCCCTCCCATCTGCCACCAGAGTTTTTCAACCTGCTGGTTCTGTGCTGTATCTGAATGGACTGTTTTTTGTGCTGTCTCTTTCAGGGGAAGAACTCAGCTTCCTCTTTCCCTCCAAGCTCTCCTAGAGACAGAGCCCACTGAGTTTTAAAACTCCGTGCTTTAAGTCTTGATTCTGGCTGTAAGAATTCCAAAATTCGGTCCCTTTTGCTCTGAAAGGCAAATGTTACAGGGATTGGTCTTCACGTTTGTGGGCTCCTCAGTGTGAAAGTCTGTTTTTGGCCTTTTTTCATGCCACTGGCTCCCTCCCTCTGTGGATGGCCATGGTCCATTTCACTCCCAAACCGTGTCTTCGCCCTTCTTAATCTTCTTCAACGTGGCCTCTCCCCTACTTTTAGTTGTGGAGTTTGTTCTGCCAGTCTCTGGATCCATTTCTGTTATTGGCACTGATGTGGATGATATCTCGTTGGATTGTGGGACAAGGTGAGCTTGGGGTCCTCCTACCCTGCCATCTTCCCCCAAGGTTACAGGCAGGGAGTCCAGGGAGAGTAAGATTGGAACCTAGGTCTCTGGACATCTACCCAGTGCCCTTTTCTACCCTGTATGCTTTTATTTTCTTCTTCTTATTTTTCTGCCTTGACAATTCACTTACAATATGAACAAAGTGGTGCAAACTGATAGCTTTGCTTTATTCCTGTTAGGGGATTCCAGATTTAAAAAATACTCTAATATTGTTTTCACCTATTGTTTCAATATAAAGAAAGAATTCAGTCATTCACTACGAAGTATAAGTTAGGTGGAAGATTTTGTAAAATATTTCTTATTAAGATGAGAAAGTTACCTTCTATTCCTAATTTTCTGAAAATTGTTTTCATTAAAGGTGTTGAGTTTTGTCAAGTACACGTTTTGCATCTTTTTATGCATTTTTTGCATATCTAAATATATATCTTTATTTCAAAATAGTATGCAACATTCATTGATTTTTGAATGTTGAAACCACATTTTATTCCTGCAATAACTTCACTTTGTCATGATGTATAATCCTTTTTCAGTGTTGCATCTCTGTTCATGAGAAATAGTAGTATGTAGTTTTCTTTTCTTTTGTGATATCTTTGCCTGGCTTTGGCATAAGGTAATGCTAGCCTGAGTTGGGAAATAGCTCTCTTGTTTTCTGTCATGACATAAACAAAAATAATTCTGAAATCGTGCAATACGCGCTCTCTACATGGTATATCTATAATCTAGTGCAATTTAACTTAATCTTTCTTCTAGTCAATAGTCTCTTAACTGGTTTCTTGCTTCCACCCTTATTCTCTTACAATCTGTATCTCATCATCTCACTCTCTTCTTCAATGTACTCTCATGGCTTGCTATCTTATAACAATATCCCAAATCTTTATGTGCCCTAGAGCATACCACGGACTAAGTTTCTGCCCAACTCTCTGACATGCTTTCAGAATTATCTTTACCTTGCTCATTCTGCTTCAGTCATTCTAGTCTTCTTGCCTTTCCTCAAATATGTCAACTTTATTCCTACCTTAACAACTTTATACTCACCATTCTGTGTTTGTTTCGATCAAATTATCCATTATTGTCTCACTTCTATTATGATTCTCATCCTTCCTCAGAGAGGATGTGCCTGACTCTCCTATCAACATTTTCCTAGTCTATCCTCTTTATTCTCTATTCTGTTGTCCATTTTAGTTTGTAGCACTTACCACTTCCAATATTAAGTATTTATTTGCAAATAATTTTCTTCCTCTTTCCCCTATGAAAGTCAGAACTCCATGAAGTTTGGAACTTGGTCTCTCTTGTTAATCCCCCTATTTCAAATACCTAAGTAAATACCAGAAACATTTTTCAAAAAATATTTGTTGAATACAGGAATGAGTTATTATACATTGCAATGGTTATTGTAAAAGAAATACAAGGAGCTATGAGAGACGACAGGTGGGGGGGGTTCTTCAGATTAAATACTCAGAGGAATCTCTTGGGTAAAATGACGTTTAATGTGAAGGAGTTATTCTAGCAAATAATAGAAGGATGACTCTTTCAAACAGAGCTAGTAGCAAACAAAAATGCCCTTAGGTAAGGAAAATCCTGAGGAGCTTGAAAGAATTTGATAAGATAATTGTACTTGGAGCATAAGAAATAAAGGAGAAAGGAATGAAGTGAGATTAGAAAGGAAAGTGTAAAAAAGATAATTCAACTTCTTATAGATCAGGTTAAGAGTATTAATATCCTAAGTATGTAAGAAGTCACTGGAAAAGTTTTGAAAATAGGTAAAGAAGTCTTTCACTTTAGATATTAAGGAATGTGCTGCAAAAATACCATTCGGGGGCATGTGGGTAGCTCAGTCAGTTGAGCATCAGACTTCGGCTCAGGTCATGTTCTCTCGGTTCATGGGTTTGAGCCCCACATTGGGCTCTGTGCTGACACCTCAGAGCCTGGAGCCTGCTTGGGATTCTGTGTCTCCCTCTCTCCCTGCCTCTTCCCTGCTTATTCTGTTTCTTTCTCTCTGAAAAATATATAAGCGTTAACATTTTTTTAAATAGGATTCAGAAACTGCATTGGTGATCTTGAAACTTTCCCTGCTTTCTCTTTACCACATGACTATTCCTGTCCTTGAAATAGTGAATCTAGACAGTGGCTAAGGATATGAGTCTAACTGGACAGTCCAATCATTGGTATTATCTGAAAGGCCCACAAAAAAGATAAAATCAAACAGCAATGGAGTAGAGACACTGGGGGAGGGGTGTCTGGGAAAGAATGACCAGATAATCAAGAGGAGAATTTTCCAAGCATTATGGAGCCAAGAAAACTGTTTTTTTATGCACTTTTTATTTTGGAGTATTTTTAGATTTACAGAAAATTTGCTAAAATAGTGCAGAGAATTCCCACATACTCTTCGCCCAGTTTCAGTTTCCCCTCGTGTTACACCTTGTATAACCTAGTACATTTGTCAAGAGTAAGAAAGAGACATTACTATCAAAAACAATTCAGGCCCTATTCAGATTTCACCACTTTTCCCATTAGTGACCTTTTTGTGTTCCAGGATCTGATCTGAGAGACCACATTCCATTTAGTTCTCACGTTTTCTTAATCTCCTCTGGTCTGTAATGGTTTCTCAGAATTTCCTTATTGCTCATAATTTTTACATGAGCAACAGATAATATAATTATAGATTATATAACTTTTTTTAAAAAAATTTTTTTAATGTTTTATTTATTTCTAGGAGAGAGAGAGAGACAGCGTGAGCAGGGGAGGGTCAGAGAGAGAGGGAGTCACAGACTGAAGCAGGCTCCAGGCTCTGAGCTGGCAGTCAGCACAGAGCCCGACGCGGGGCTCGAACCCACGAACCACGAGATCATGACCTAAGCGAAAGTCGGCCGCTTAACCGACTAAGCCACCCAGGTGCCCCTATATAACTTTTTAATCGTTGAATGAAAGAGATTTCTGTAAAATAAAAAGGAGATTCAAGAGAAAAAGACACCTTATTATTTGGAACCAAGTAAGTTTGTAGCCAACATGCTTACAATATGTTTGCTAATGTCAAATCTAAGTAGATGGTGTGGCCCTTCTCCACTTAGCCCTGCTCAATCTGTATTGGGTATTTAATAAATTTTATTTTCACAATGGCAGGAAGCCTTGCAATTGTCCTTGAGAAGGCTATAGTTACAAGATAGTCTCTTCTTCAAATCATTACAGTTGTTATATTTATTTTCATACTCGCAAACATTGGCTGGAATAAAAACAAAGACATTAGTTAGTTCATTATAATTTTCTTCTATAGCAGCAACACAAGCAATAAATTCAATGCAAGTAGGGAGAAGACAATTGAGCAAACAAGTTGGCATCATTACACGATGATGTGAAAGGACACATTAATCCATCACTTCTTTTAAAATTTGAGCTTTTTGAAATATTTCTAATGAAATGACCTACTTTTCTCCCTCAGTAAACAAAGTAAAATAAATGTAAATGAGTCTCTAAAATTGCACTGTCCAAAATTATACCCTCTAGCCATGTGGTTGTTTATATTTAAACTTAAATTATTTAAAATTAAATAAAATTAAGAAAATACATTTCAGGTTATTAGTGACACTTGTTACATCCCTAGTGCTCCATGTCCAATCTGACTAGGGGCTACTTTACAGGGCTGTGCAAACATTGAACACTTCCATCATCGTAAAAAGTTATAGTAGACACTGTTGCTTTATCTAGACTCTAGAGCCACAAGTTTTTCTTTCAAGAGTAAGAAACCATTATGACAAGATGTGGGTGTAAAAATGGATGTAAAAACTATGGTTATCAGACATTTACTATGATTATCAAACTTTGAAATCCCTTAGTGGCCAGAAACTCAAGTAACTCTCAGACTAAATTCATCATTCTACCTGCAAACTTGGCATTCCTTTGGAGTCCCTCCCCAACTCCTAACTCAGCTCCCCCAAAATCTGAGAAGTGACACTCTTAACTACTAAATAATTCAAGCCAGATACCGGGAATCAATATGAGCTCATTCCTCTCTTCTTTTTATCACCACTCAACAAATGCGAGTAACAAACAGTGGCTATTCCACTTCTTTCCTGTCACTCATTACTGCCCATTTCTCTTCATTCATTTTGTCCTAATGCAGTAAAAACATCCATTTGGTTTTTGAACCCATGTTTTCAACAGTCTTCAAGCTTGCTTTAACCCACTTGTTTCTCCATACTACTGCCAGCTCTTGATAAAACACAATTCTGATTTCATCACTCTTGTGTTTAAAAATCTTTCAATTGGTTGCTCACTACTAACAGGATAAATTCCAAAACCATTAACAAATAGTATTCATCAGAGGTGTATTTTCTTTAATTGCTGTATAGCTTTGATGATATCAATATTCTGAATTGGAGCTATACAATCACTCAGAATGTTACAGTGTAGTCTGACAAATGAAAGGTAAAAATCTCAAGTAAATGGGTCAATTATACTATTCATAATAATTTAATGACATATCTCAACCAAACAAAAATACCAGCTCTTTGTATCTATACTAATAACAACACTGAAAATGAGATACATGACACTAAATGTACTCCTTTTTGTAAAATAGTTTCGAAATTTCTGTGAGCTAATATTGCTATACAAGGATTTGATCAACATTTTAAAAGTATATAAAAATTACACACACAAGTGCAAATGGTTATTAAATTTAACTTGATTATTATAACTATACTATTGGAAAAATGAAGAATTTAGTATAATGAACTCATGTGTGTAAGAAATGTTTGGTGTCTGGACTGAACCATATCTATGGTCTCACACCTTTACATTTGTACATATTTTCTCTTTTAAAAATGCAATAATGAAAATTTGCTACAATTACATTAACCTTGCTATAATTGCATTACATTACAATGAATATTTCCACATAAACATTTTTATATGCCAATATGTAATGAGTCCAACATAAGCATGAATATACATTGATGGTATATTTGTTGTTTGTTTAGGTTACATATGGTTACAGGGTTTCATTACAAATAAACATAGATACTGGGTTGTGTAAAGTTTTTGATTAAACAAACTCTGTTGAATAATTTTTTTGTCTTTTGCATGAGGGCATTGCTTAAGTTGGTTTACATCAGAAGATATCATAATTCTTTTTTATGTTTATTTACTTATTGAAAGAGAGAGAGAGAGAGAGAGAGAAAGGCAGAGAGAGAATCCCAAGCAGGATCCACGCTGTCAGCACAGAGCCCAACATGGGGCTTGACCTGATATCATGACCTGATCCAAAATCAAGAGTCAGATACTTAACTGACTAAGCCACTCAGGTGCCCCAGATTTCCCAATTCTTAAAGAAAAAAAAGTCAGTCCATTTTATTAGCTGTTATAGCAAGTTAATGACTTCAAACTTACTGCATAGTCCATTGTCACAGTGATTAGGGCAGCTGGCACAAGGTTTTCCTTCTAGGTAGGGTGTATTTATCTTGTCACGATAATTACCACTGAAATTTGAAATACCAAATGTCAAACATTTCTCATTTTTCAGTTTAGTTTATGCTACCAGGGTAGCACCTATCACCACATATACCTGAATATATATTCAATCTTTTTAATCATGTCAAATAACTGAAAAACTACAATTCCAAAAATGTACTCAGATACCAATGTAAAGTAAGAAAATAACTCACACATTCACACATTACCTCTTGACCATAAACTCACAGCCTGAGCAACTGAAATGGATAAACGGGGTCTAAAGTTTTTGGAGTATATTTCAACATGGCAACATTCTTTCTCACCCAGAAGACTTGGCCAATTGCTAAAGCAGTGCACCCCAAGGTGCTGGCTAGTGATAAAACATATTTCTTAGAGAGACAACAAGTTCCTGGGAAATAAAGGGTTGCAGTAGGGAAAATGCTTAAAGTTACACATAATTTTATGTTTAAAAAAGAAAATATGATAATTTTTGTAATATGAACTAGAGAAGGCAAAGCCCAGGATAATTTTGTCTTCTAGATGGGGGTGATGATTTTCGAGTGATTTTTGGTGTATTTGGGGGGTAGGGTGATAGGAAGATTTTTGAATGTCTAGAGTTTTTGTGTGTGAGATTTTAATATTTAAAAAAGATAAGGATGCTAGAAAAATGGTTTTATTAACACTAATCACTAAGGTATATTGGTCTTACAGTACCTAGCCGACACCTCTTGGTGAATATTATTCGATTGACCATTATTATCTGACAATACAAGACAGCCAAAATCTTGATTGCTCCAAGTGGGCCAACAACATAAAGCCATGCATCTAAATCTCAGTCCCTACACAGAATATACCTGAATGTGTGTGAGCCCCTGGAAAAATGTGAAATAGGCACAAGTGTGCTCTGGAAGTTCTCTCACCCCTGCTTTCCCTCATTATTCACTGCAGCTCTCACTTCAGATGAGTGGCTTCAGATCCTCCTATTACAGCCAGGCAATGAATTTGGATGCATTCTCCTAGGAACTTTCAATTCCTTCTACTAAACCTTCATAGGTGCTTGCGGAAAAATGACATTGGGAGTCATACTTCTCAAATGGGAGATCCACATACTTGGGTTATCTACAGTCTCAAAATAAAGCCTGAAGGAAGCTTGATTTTAGGGGTCCCCCTGTCCCCAGTGGCAAGAAATTTCAAACATTTAAAGACACTAAGGTTAACAGATATGTTGAGATTAGATCTTCAGTATATCCACAGCACTTATTCTGGGTAAGTTCAAACATAATCCTTAATGAAAGAACACATTTCCTGCTACATGTCAGGACCTTAAAGGATGGTTCATAATGGAGATTTTTGTGCAAACTTCTGAAAGACCAAGAGTAAGGATATTCTTTTCTGAAATCTGAGATACATTAAAGATCTCTTGAAAAGCTTTTGAGAGCCAAAGGACAAATCATCTGTGATGGTAATAATGGAGGTGGCTTTTTAGATAAACAGGGGTAGGAACATTTTAGCAGAAAGAGCTGAAATCACAGTCAGTCATTCCCCATTTGCCACTCCACCTCCGTCCCTTGCTTCACCATCAAGCTGCCCCCCTGCTAGGGTATGAAGTTAGTGAGAACTAATGATATCAAATCTAGAGAAATGCACACTACCCAGGCTCATGGAATAGCTGTGGGCCCAAGGGAAAGATGACTGAGAGAAAAGATGTCACTCTGTAATTGAGGAAAGAAGGTTTCAGGTTTTACACTCAGAACAGAAAACGTGGTCTCTTCTCTGACAAACTGAATGTATCTCAACTTAAAAGTCATTTCCAAAGACCTACTTCTTTCTTTTTACTAAAATATGATTTATATTGTAGTTCATTTAATATACAAAAATTTCAAAACATTGAATTGCAGATGGGATTATTGGCATTCAAGTCTAAAATCTATACTTACGCAGGACAATACTGGCAGACATAGTAGTATTTCAAATAAACCTGACCAGGACAATAGGCCACTCCACATCCAATGCGGTAAGAGGAGTACCAAACAACCTACAAATCCAGAAGGGAACATAGAAGAGAATATGATGGAGGGAAAATATTGAAAAATAGCAGCAATTGTAAACCTGAAAAAAATGTTACCATTATGGTTTGCAGTCATGTGTCTTGTGGAAATATTTTGTTCAATTATTGAAACAAACACACATTTTGAGTACTGAATTTTCATATACATTCATCACTTTATGCATTTATAATGTTGGGAAGGGACAGAGCGTGCTTCCCTATGAAGAGTTCTGCCAGCCAAGGAAGATATGACAGCTTTAGATGAAGTACCAGCCAATTCCAAGGCTACTAGGTGTACTCATGCTCTCATGCAAATTGAACACATGTTGGACATAAGTTAGAGAAGCTTTCTATAATAGAGCACTTGTGGCAGAAGTATCTTCATTTGTTTTTCTTACCTGGGTATAATGTCCAACAACTGCACCGGGAGTCTTTGGTCCCTTACCATGGATAAAATCATTGTATTCATCATACCATGCTTGGATTGCGTCTGACCACGAATCAGGCTGAGATGACATATAGAGATTCTCACCACATCTTGTACCTAAGGATAAACAGATCACAATGAAGCAATAAAGCCTGTAATGGCGAAAGAAAGCAAAGATGTTGCTTTTTAAACTGCCTACACTCGCCTACTCTTAACACATAATAAAACAGCTTGTGTCCTTATCAACTATTAAGCTGAATGGATGGCAAATCTGTCTACCACACTGAGGCTGGCTTGAACATGCAAAACTTTGAATAGGTTGAGGAGATCTTATGTTTCAAAATCCTTCTCCCTTTGGATTGTCAGAGATGCATTCTTTTTCATGTGAAGTTCATCACAAGTGTAATGTTTTCTGTACTCTCAGCTTTGTACTATAAGTATGCAAAGGGTAGTGACTAGTCTTTATTCTTTTTTTGTCTTCTTGCCTATGCTCACCCAGATGTTTTTCATATATTGGACCCTAAATAAATGTTTATGATATGATTTTTGTGTGAACTGGGAAAAAAAAGTTCTACAGACCGTCTTTAAGAGCCCCAGTTAAGAGGCAACTGACATCAGGTGGGATAGCAATTTTCAAAGCCTTTGGATCCTCCCTTAATCAATAAATCAGACTGTCATAAGACCAAATCTTCCTGAGAGAAGTAGGTAACAAGAGCTTTGCAGAGGGTGACATCAGCAAGATGGTGGAGTAGGAAGCCCTGGGTTCTCCTTCCCCCAACAAACATACTGACTCAGCAACAATTCCTGAACACATTGCCCTTGTTAGAAATCCAAAACTAATTGCAGGGCTTCTATACCCTGGGAGAATATGAACCCAGACTCACTGAAGCCTGTAAGGAAATTAGGACACACTCTTGCTAGAATGCCTACCCTCAGCACAGTGCCTGCCAAGAGACCCCATATCTCCCAGCTTCTCCCAGGGGAAGGAAAGAGTTGGCTCATTTGTTCAGCATCCCAACCCTTCCTTAAGGAAACTCCCAGATGATTGGCTTCTCTCTTGCTAGTCTTGGAGCTCTGATTGTCAGGCACAGGCTAGCTATCTGGAGGAGAAAGGAGATGGTGGCTAGGACTGGTAGGTATCATATCTCCTCCCCCTGGCTCAGCACAGAGCAAGCAAATAAAAATTCTTAGCTCTCAGCTGCTTTCTCCTAAGGAAGCAAAGAGTTGATTGGTATGTCCAATGCTATTTCCCCAGGGCTGCCCAAAAAGCTCTCATCTCTCTTGCCAGTCTTAGAGCTCTGATGGCTTTGGCACAGTGCTGCCCCCCTGGGAGGAGAATCCAGACGGTGTTTTGTATTGGTAGAGGCTATGGCTCCTCTTTTCAGCTCAGCACAGAGCAAGCAAACACCACAGCTACCTGGTTCTCCCTGGGCTGGGAAAGAGTTGGTGTGGGTATCCAATGCCACAAATTTTCCAGAGGCTGTCCCAAAGCCTGGCTTCTGACATCCCCCTCTGAGAATACTAACTAGACCTATCATAATCTAGCTGCCTGGGGCCAATGAGGACAGATAGAGGTTTGGGCTGGCAGTAGCCATAGTCTCTTCTGGTTCAGCACAGAGTGAGCAGATACAAAACCCTAGCTCCTAGCCTCTCCCTGGAAAAGCAAAGAGTTGGATGGGATGCCTAAATCTCCATCTTTTCTGGGGGCTGCCTGAGGAACTGACTAAAGATCTTTTCTGAACACAATCAACTTGGATAGATGTTTCTCCAAGGAAGATGTCCAACCAGCCAACGGGTATATAAATGACTTTGGGTAACATGGATATTTTAACAGTATTCCTTCTTCTCAACGGGCCAAAACCCCCAAACTCTTCAGTAAGTGATGTTGAGAAAATTGGACAGTCACATGGAGAACAGTAAATTTGGACACGTAAATTACACTATGCACAAAAATTGCCTCAAAATGAATTAAAGACCTAAAGATATGACCTGAAATAACAAACTCCTCAAAGAAAACATAAGGGAAAAGCTCTTTGACATTGGTCTTTGCAATGATTTCCTGAATGTGACACTAAAAGTACAAACAACAAAGGCAAAAATAAATATTTTTCACTTTATTAAAAGTGGGGCTTTTAATAAAGTGAAAAAGTAACCTATGGAATGAGTGAAAATATTTGCATAGCATATAAATGATAAAGAGTTAGCTTTCAAAGTATGTAAAGAACTCATACAACCTAACAGCAAAAATTAACTCAATTTAAAAATGGGCAGAAGATTTGTTTTTATTTTGTATTCTGTATATTTTTTATTTACCATTTTTCATTTAGCATTTTATTTTATTACTTTTTATTTTATTTTATTATTTTTTTCCAATATAGTTAACATATAGTGTTCTACTAGTTTCAAATGTACAATATAGTGATTCAACAATTCTATACGTCACCCTGTGCTTATCATGGCAAGTTCCCTCCTTAATCCCTGTCAGCTGTTTCACCCATCTCCCATCCTCCTCCCCTCAGTAACCATTAGTTTTTTCTCTATAGTTAAGATTAATTTCTATTGGTTTCTCTCTCTCTCTCTCTCCCTTTACTTATTTGTTTTGTTCCTTAAATTCTACATATGAGTGAAAGCATATAGTGTTTGTCTCTTTCTGACTAATTTTGCTTAGCATCATACTCTTTAGCTCCATGCATGTTGTTGCAAATGACTATAGATAGATAGATAGATAGATAGATAGATAGATAGATAGATGGATAGATAGATAGATAGATACATAGATAGACACTTGGGCTGCTTCCATAACTTGACTATTGTGAATAATACTGCTATAAACAGGGATGCATGTATCCCTTTGAATTAGTGTTTTTGTAGATTTTAAGTAAATACCCAGTAGTGCAATTAATGATTGCAAAGTAGTTCTATTTTTAACTTTTTGAGGAACTTCCACAGTGGTTGCACCAGTTTGCATTCCCACCAACAGTGCACAGGGTTTTCTTTTTCCCACATCCTCTCCAACATTTGTTGTTTCTTGTGTTGTTTTCTTTTTTAATTTTAGCTATTCTGACAGATGTGAGATCATACTTTATTGTGGCTTTGATTTGCATTTCTCTGATGATGAGTGATGTTGAACATCTTTTCATATGTCTGTTGGCCATCTGTATGTCTTCTTTGGAGAAATCTCTGTTTATGTCTTCTGTGCATTTTTTGAGCAGAAGACATGAACAGAGATTTCTCCAAAGAAGGCATACAGATGGCTAACATGTATGTGAAAAGGTGCTCAACATTACTAATCATCAGAAAAATGTAACTCAAAATCACAATGAGATATCACCTTACATTTTCCAGAATGTCTATTTTCAAAAAAACAAAAGAGAGCAAGTGGTGGTGAGGATGTGGAGAAATTGGAATCATAAACACTATTGGTGAGAATGAAAGATAGTGTGGCTGCTATGGGAAACAGTATGAAGTTTCCTCAAAAGGTTGAAAGTAGAACTACAAAATGATCCAGCAGCACCACTTCTGAGTATTAAAAAATTAAAAATCAAGATCTTGAAGAGATATCAGCACACTCATGTTCATTGCAACACTATTTACAATAGCCAGCTTTTGTAGAAAATCTAAATGTTCATGGACAGATGAATGGATGACAGGTAAGAAATATACATACAATGGGATGTCACTCATCTTTGAAAAAGGAAGAAGTCTTGCAACATGTGATTACATGGGTGAACCTTGAGGACATTATGCGAAGTGAAATATAGTCATAGACAGACAACTACTACATGCATATACTACATTTATACAAAGTATGTAAAAGAGTCAAATTTATAGAATCAAAGAGTGCAATAGTAGTGGCTGTGGATAAGGGAAAAGAGAAATGGGAACTTACTAATCAATAAATTTCAGGTAAGCAAGGTGATTAAGTTCTAGATATCTGCTGTACAACATTGTACCTTACGTCAACAGTGTTGTATAGTGTATTTAAAAATTTGGCAAGGATGTAGGTCTTAAGTTAAGTGTTCTTACTACAATAGGATTTTTAAAAAATCATTGTTTCTATAATAAAGTTAATTTAGAAAAAGAATTAATTGCCTTGCAGCCAAGAAACATATGCCTATTATTTTAGCCCTCAGTTAATATTCACATTTTGGTGGCTTGAAATATAAGGTTTACATGCTGCTTAAAGAAAGTGTTAAATATTTTTGGGAATCTTCTTTAATATGCAAGGAAAGAAACTAGGAATCTAGCAGAATTTGATCTTAAGATCATTTGTTTTAAGCTTCTACTGAATATAAATACCTCTCTTCATAATTTTATTATAATGCTGGCATCAATAATACAAATAACAATAGTTCTACTGAAATTACAACGAATTATTCACTACTTTTAGATGAGATCGGGCACATTCAGGGTGGTATGGCCGTAGACTATTCACTATTTTCAAGTTGGGTTTGACTATCATGCTTAATAATGTAAATAAATATTTTATGTAAAGTTTATGCACAGAAGCTTTCTGTCATAGTTTTGGTGATTCTTGAAAGTTTTATAGTTTTTTGCATGTAATATATTATTCTATGCATTATGGGTACACAGTCTATACAAAGTACTTGACTGTTATCAAAAAGTAAAAACTGAATCAATATACACAAAATATTCATCATGATCTTAAAAGTTTAGGTATTACAGCAAAATTCAGGAAAAATTCAGCATAATTCAGTATATTTTATGAATTCAAAATGAGGAGATAGCAAAACACCAAATAGCTACACAATATGACAAAAAAGGGCAGTGGATTGATTAACTTTCCAGTAGATAACACTTCGGATTGTGTTGTAGGGAAGTCATTCCTCCCTTGCCCTTGGCTTCTATTTCTAAAATTGGAGAAATGATGATGTATGACCTGTTGACTAATGAGCTGGTTCAGAGTGATAAATGAAGTATTCCTTCAGAAATTCTTGGCATAATGCAAACAATCAACAAACACAAAATGGTACTTATAATGATCTTTCCCTATACAGACACTTTGATTTTAAAAAGAGCAGTATAAGCAACATTATTTCACTAAATCTTCTTTCAGCATCCCTGAATGTTCCATTCTATTTGATTTTTCCAGTATTATTTTATTTGTTTATTTATTCAACAGATATTTGCTCATTTACGTACTGGTTTTTCGGTCCTCTGGATGGCTGTGTTCTAAAGTGCACTTGTTTGCCCAGTTTTGGGCATTTTCTGCTGCTTTTTTGTTCCATTCCTAAATGTCACAAGAAAAAAAAATGCACTTAAAGATTCAACTCCAATAAAGCATATGCTTTATAGTCTGATTGGTAGATTGATTTGCACTAATTTAAAAGCTTCAATATTATATTCATATTCAATATATATAATTGGCATTGGTATGAAAAGATCTTTTTTATTTGTGTTGTGTGTGTGTTTATCTGCTCTAGTACCAATTTCCACATGAAGAGAAGTTCATAAATGATGTATCTACTGAGAGAAATATCTAACACTGACAATTTATGGTAGGTGAGGAATCACACCTAGGATTTTTAGTAATGGTGCTACTGATCAATATATGAAGTATTTAAATTATACTTCAAATGAAATGGCAAAATAGAAGCAAAATTGTATAAGGACAAGGTACTTAAGAGATGCCCAGTTACCAGCTCCCTGCTCTTATCACCGCTGGTCCACACCACTCACTAGCTTTTATCCCTGCCTCTTACCGTCTTTAGCATGTTGCTGGCAGGTGGCGAGACTGATCTTCTTAGGTCATTGTGTTTATTTATAATCTCTTGTTGGACTCGTATTTGAGTAGTTGACAAATCAGTAAAGGATGGATCCTAAAGAGAAATAAAATTGTGGTTATCAGTTTAACATTTGTTAAAATTGATCCCCCAGCCACTGGAAGGATCCTCCTGGAATCTACCTCTGGTTTGACTTCCAGAAAGCCATACAGCCCTGAAGGGTTGCAAGTTGGCCAACAGAGTGGCTGTCACAAAATACTGTGACCCCGACTCCTACCACCACCCAGGTCTTCTGGTAGAGGATGAGGGGGTGGGTGGGGACAAGGTTGGCTGGGGGCTGCTCCCCTTCCTTACCCCTTTTGAAAAAGTTGAGCAGAGAAGAGCAGCTGAATGGCAGCCAGCAGCAGTTGAAATGGCAGCAATTAGGGTGGGGGTAGGGTTTGGGTGGGGAGGGGAATAGGAAATCCACACGTAGGCCTACACATACACATGCACCCACAGACACAGAGGGAAGGGGTCAGGATGCAGAGGGGGTTCACAGCAGGGTCGTAGGACCCCCATAGCCCCTCCTCATAACAGCTTCTCCTCCCTTTTACCCTTTCTCCCCTTCCCCACTGTAGAAACAGAGTTTATGTATTATGGCCAAACTATTTTGATAAACTCTTTTTTTTAATGTTTATTTATTTTTGAGAGAGAGAGAAACAGACAGAGCATGAGCAGGGGAGGGCTGAGAGAGAAGGAGATACAGATTCTGAAGCAGGCTCCAGGTTCTAAGCTGTCAGCACAAGTCCGAAGGGAGCTTGAACTCACGAACTGCAAGTTCATGACCCAAGCCAAAGTTGGACACTCAACCAACTGAGCCACCCAGGCACCCCGTGGCCAAACTATTTTGAATTTTATTATCCGACCCCCAATGCCCTGCCTTCTCCCTATCTAGGCCCACAGCCCCCATCCTCTTGGCCTCTGGTTCTTTCCCCAGTGCCTGCCCTCCCCTGTTGCTTATGTAGTTGATTCTCTCCTCCTTGGTCTCCCTGACTTGCACCCCAGCCCAGTGGCCTCCTCTCTTTCCTCTATGTGGCAGTTTCATATTTGCTAAGACGAATTTGCTCATGAAACATTTGGTTGTATTCTACTTTTAAAAAATTGCATTTAAGAATGAATAAGTTAATTCAGGGAGCAAAGATCACTTTAGAAAACATTCAGTTCAGGCCAATGGTAGCTGTTAAGTGTTGCCAATGAACCTGAGCCAAAGCTGTGACAAATAGGAAAAAATAGTTTAAAGCTCTGAGAATAGTGATAGAATTCATAGCACAACAAGTCAAAATCTCCTCTGAGGCCGCAAATGTCAATTTCTAGTTTCAAGGGAGCTCTTAATGTGTTTCTTCTAGCCATATGAGTGATAGTATTTATAACCATAAAGGCACACAATAGAAAAATTAGGACACAGTGATTCACATTTGATCAGAGTGCAGCAGGTGGAATGAGAGAGGACCTCAAGATTCATCCTAGACTTTAAGGAAATCCTGACCTGACATGTCCTGTATTTATAAAGGTAATGTAGTTAGAATGTATTTGGAGAAAGAATGTTCAGATTCAAAGTTTATTCAATACTCTAGTAAGGGGCATCTGGGTGGCTCAGTTGGTTAAGCCACCAATGGTTGATTTCAGCCCAGCTCATGATCTCACTGTTTATGGCTTCAAGCCCCACATCTTTGGGCTCAGTGCTGACAATGCAGAGTCTGCTTGAGATTCTCTCTCTTTCCCCCTCCCCCTCCCCTGTTCAAGCTCATGTGTCTGTGCTCTCTCTTTCTCAAAATAAGTAAACTTAAAATTCTTTTAATAAGAAATACTCTAGTAAAATTATTCTTCCTATTATGATATGTATTATGATCTACTTTATTATGATCTGATTTCATGGGGTCACTCAAAAGGTAATTTTGCAATATTAAAAAAAAAGCTTCCAAGGCCATTTAGAAGGGGCCGTTGGTGACTCTGTTCCCTTTTAGTAATAGAATAAAGTATTAAATCAGCTGCTGACATTTTTGGTATATTTTATCATTGTATGTGTGTGTCAGGTGGGGGGTGTCTAGCCTGGAGGTAGAATAGGGTAGGTGAATTGTTCCTACAAGGTTAAGATATTTGATTACCTTATTTAATACATGAATGTTTTATTGTATGAGCATGAGCAAGAGTTTGAAGTCAAAGTCTAAACAGGCAGGGCCCTTTGTTGATTTTCCCTGACATTGGGGTAAGTTATTCTCTCCTCTACCCCAATAATGAGTTCCCTCAGAGCCTTCCAAATAATGCAAGCCTAGGCTTAGTCACATTTATCACCACTATTTATTTATGCATCCATTTCCCCTGCTTGCTTGTATGTTCCTAAGGCAAGAACCAATAGTGAATGCCATTGTACCTACAGATCTGTCACATTCCCACCTACTAACTCCTAAGCTAGAAAGGATGTATATGTGAAATATTAGCAGTGGCCAGTCTCCACTTTACACTAAAATATAAAATCACATCCTTGGATATTTCCTATTGACCCTCAAAAACCCGCCGAACAGAATTTTATTTCAAAACACATAAAAATTTGGCCCCTGAGAAAAAAGTCATTATTTCCTCCTTTTTATTCGATATTGCTTTGTATAGATACAAATCCTACTGAAGAAATGTCTTTGCTGTTTTTTAAATGAGTTTCAAGACAGCTTTAATTAGGTGACAGGAAATAGGAAGAGTGTTGGACATAAAATAGATCTAATATAATGTCTATCTATCAATCCTTAAAATGTTTATTTAGATAGACTATATGACATAAATAAATAATTACAATTTATTTCAGTCACATGGTAACTAAAATGATGGGTGGATTCTCCTAGATATAAAAAAAACCAAAGGGTCAATTCTTTTTTTTTAATGTTTTATTTATTTCTAGGAGAGAGAGAGAGAGAGAGACAGCATGAACAGGGGAGGGTCAGAGAGAGAGGGAGTCACAGACAGAAAAAGGCTCCAGGCTCAGAGCTGGCAGTCAGCAAAGAGCCCGAAGCGGGGCTCAAACCCACAAACCACGAGATCATGACCTAAGCGAAAGTCGGACGCTTAACCAACTAAGCCACCCAGGCGCCCCACAAAGGGTCAATTCTTGATCGAGCTTTGGAAAAGTTTATAAAAGATAGTCTGCATGGGGATTATAAAGGATGATTAGTATTTTCTAGCATTCTTGAGAAGATGTATAAAAAACCCTATGGGGCAGAAGGTATGCAGAGAATCTGATTAGCTAACATTTAGTGGTGCAAAAGAGCAAAATATCTCTCTTTTAAATAATTTCATAAATAAAGACCAGGAGATGGACCAGAGAGTTAACAGGGGATTGGTAAGGACCATGAAAAAAATCTATAGGAAAGAGACTGGGAAGACAGCAAACTTTCTAAATGAAGACCTAGATAATGAATAAATTATCTTCAGATTGAAAATAAGTTATGGTAATATAATGACTGTATTTCTGAATGCCATATGAGTTTTGGCCTATTGTGTGAACTCTTTGATCTGAGAAGCCCTAGCTATTCTTGTATGCTTAAAGTTAATGAAGAATGTGCAAACAGACAGCAGTGGCCAACTTCACATCCAGAATTTTTCTGATCAAAAGGTAGACACATTATATAAGCACCTACACACCAAACACTTAAGGGAATGGTTGATCCTGTTCTTAGGATTATTAAAGAGAAGCAGCATATTAGAAATAATTAGAGGCATTTAAGGGCACCTAGGTGGCTCAGTCTGTTGAGTGTCTGACTTTGGCTCAGGTCATGATCTCACAATTTGTAAGTCCGAGCCCCATGTCGGGCTTTGTGCTGACAGCTCAGAGCCTGGAGCCTGCTCCAATTCTGTGTCTGCCTGCCACTCCCCTGCTCACGCTCTCTCTCTCTCTCTCAAAAATAATAAATTTTTTTCAAAAAATAATTAGAACATCTTATTCTTTGCATACTTATTGTAAGACCATGGAAAAAATCCAAATACTTAATATCATTACTAAAATTTATTTTTAATTTTAAAAATAGGTATAATTATTCTCACAGAGAAACTATGTAAATAAATGTGGCGATGTATGTGAAGAAGTTTTACTAATTTGAGATTATATAATATATAAATATATTGTTAATTTAATGTGGAAATCCCATTGTAATGAATTAAATAAAAGGAAATCAGAAGAGATCTTTGGACAGCTTTTAAACCTTAGATCATTGCTGTCAATAGAATTATAAGTACATTACCAAGCTTAATAAAATTTTTTTAAGTTTATTTATTTATTTTGAGAGAAAGAGACTGAGCGGAGGAGGGCCAACGAGAGAAGGAGATAGGAGAATCCTAAGCAGGCTCTGCACTGTCAGCACAGAGCCCAGTGCAGGGCTTTAACTCATGAACTGTGGTGAGATCATGATTTGAGCTGAAGCCAAGAGTTGGATACTTAACTGGCTGAGTCACCCAGGCACCCCCCAAAAATTTTTTTAAGAGAAAGAGAGAGAAAGAGGGAGAGAGAGGGAGAGAGAGGAAGAATCTTAAGTAGCTTTCCACCCAACGTGGAGCCCAGTGCAGGGCTCGATCTCATGACTGTGAAATGATCTGAGCTGAAATGAAAAGTCAGCCGCTTAACTGACTGAGCCACCTAGATGCCCTGTATCAAACATAATTTTAATTTCTGGGTGGCTACTTTGAAAAAGAAAAAGAAAAGATTAAATTGATATTTATAGTATATTTATTTAAGTAACAGATTCAAAATATTATCCTTTCATTGTGCAATCAATATTAAAATTATTAATGAAATATTTTAACTTTTTTTTATGAAGTCTTGAATTCTCCATATATTTATGCAGATCTCAGTTCCAACCGTCTGTATTTCCAATGTTCAATACCCTCATGTGGCTAGAGGCTACGGCTGGTCATCACAGCCTTAGAATTAATTGTGTTAAGTACTTGAGCAACTGATGAGTACTTTGTGATGTACCAGGCATTGTAGTACTTTTCACTCTTGCAAATTGATTTAATAGCTTGCTATTCCTCAGACTTACTTCAGTTGTTCTGAAAATATTTGTAAGCTTGACCATACCTGTCCATTTGCAGGAAAGAATGGAAGCAACATAACAGCCAGGAACAGCAACTCCAGGAATAAGGCCATTGCTGGGGGAAAAAAAGAAAAGAAAAAAAAAAAAAAAAACAGAAAGGAAATAAAGACCTGCACTGGAATGTTTAGTGCATGAACTTCTGAGAAATATAGGAAAAAACAAAGCAAAACAATGTAATGATTTAGTTATTCCAAATTCATTAATAATACAAGAGAAGATTTGTTACATTATGCTAATAGAATAATAATGGATTCGTTCAGAAGCAGCTCTCCAATAAGGATATAAAGAACAAAAGAAAATACTTGGTTGAAGCCTTTGAAGTGCACCTATATACCACCCAATTTTACCCTAGTTCCACACTCTTGTCTATGTAGCTCCTCTCTTCAGATTCTAGGAATGGCTTCTTCACGTTGCCCATTGAGGAGAAGTAATACCTCCCAACTGTTAGTAAAACTGGGATACCACTGGATTAGTTTTTACTGGTTTCCTTAAATCCTTCTTCATCCGTTATAAATATATCCTCATTAAGATCTCTTCAGATTACTAGTTATCATGTGCCATTTCTTTCCTGTTGTGAATCTGGCTCAGATACTTGACATTACTAGAAACCTAGGTAAATCCCTTGAGAAGTAAGTGCTTGTCTTTAATACTTTCAACTACACCCATGTAGCCAGTGTCCTTATTCATTTCCATTCAAACCTTTCACTATTACAATGTCTTGAATTCCAAAAAAAGCAATATTCTCCTTCTATATCTAGAGACAGAAGGTAGATTTATCACTTTTAAGATTAGATTACCAATCCAATCTGTACTGATACCTTTAATAGATTCACATCTTTTGTCTCACTAATTTAACTTCTTGGAATCATGAGGAAATAATAATATACACTGGAAAAACTTTAGACATACACTTTTATTACATTAATATTTATAAGGATAAAAACATTACAATTTATTACATGCTCAAGGGCAGGGAGATAAAATGTCCAAATAAATTAGAATACATCCTCTTGTTAGAGTATATTAGACATAACAGTTATATCACTGATGGTATTATAACAAAAGCAATGCTTATGCTTCAGAGTTAAAAAATGGTATACGGGAAATTCTTAGCTTCTGTTATGGATGAATGCTTGTGCCCTCCCAACATTCATATGTTGAAACCCTAGTCCCCAATGTGGCTATATTTGTATTTGGGTGTCTAAGGAAGTAGTTAAGATTAAATGAGATCATAAGAATGAACCCTGATCCAATGGGACTCGCGTCCATAGAAGGAGAGACGAGACAACAGAGAGTTCTCTCTCTCTCATTTCTTTCTCATATCCACACAAACAAGAAGATGCTATATGAAACCACAGTGAGAACGTAGCTGTCTGCAAGTCAAGAAGAGAAGTGTCACCAGAAATCAACTATACTGTCACCTCAGTCTCAGACATTGAACCTTCAGAACTGTGAGAAAATAAATTTCTGTTGTTCAAGCTACCCAGCCTGTGGCATTTTGTTATGCAGCCCAGGAAATCTCACACACATTCATGTATTTGGTATTTGAGGGTTAGGTTATTTCTGAGTGAGTTTGAAGGTCCACAAAACGTGGTAATATAAAATCTTCTAGAGCTAAGATCTGCATTCAGGTGCTCATGTGTGAGCAAAGACACTGAGATGTCAGGTTACCTCTGACTCCCATCTAGCATTCGTATCTCAGTGAGCCTTGCTTTTCTCGTGGATATATGACAAAAAGTATGTCATAGGTAATTTGGACCTGTTTTAAGGCAAGAGAAGTAATTTTATTGCATGGTCATATTGACAATCTTGGTAGGTAGGGAGATTCGGGAATGCGTACATTATTACTCTCCTGAAGGACAGTAACAGAAATAGGACCTCATCCCTTCTGCAAAATAATGATCAGACAAAAAGCCAGGCAAAGAACAAATGAGAAATAAAATAGAATGAGTTTATCTTCATGTGGTAAGATATTCTTTCCTGAATTTTCTATAAGTCTGTGTTACTGTAATTACAGTAATTAGGAAAAGAAAAGACCCTTATTATAAAAAGATTATTAACTCTTGGGAAAGCATGTCTGACTTTGTCAAGCATATTAGTTGCTTTTTTTTGCAACCTGGTATAGCTAACAGGTTAGGCATTATGATGATCATTGAAGAGAAGAATGGAGGTATTAAATGACCTCCAGATAACATCATTGCCAGTTAGCATGAAGCTGGGACAGCACCCATGATTTCTTTTAACCTCAATATCCATTTCCCACTAAACTGTATTATACTTTTGGGAGGCCTGGTAAGAATTAAAGCATTCAATGAATTTTCTGCCCTGACAAAAAATAGTCATGCATTACTATAAATCTTCTCATGGCTGTTAAATAGCTGGTAGATTACCAAACACATTTGAAGAGATTAGAAAAAATTTATACAATATTAACAATGAACTCAATCCTCTACTGTTGTTCTTCAAATATAAAGTAATTTTCTTAGGATATGCATCTTGTGTTGAAAATATGCCTCATTATGATAACCTTTATATATGTAAGTTTGTTGAAAGAATGGAGAAGTTTGTTGGCATCCTAATGAAGTATTTTTGTCCATTTAATAACTAAAATAGGAAGGGAGAGAATTGGAATGAAAATCACGAGGTTAGCAGCATATTTCTATAAGAGATCAATGAGGGATACAAATTATACAAGTGTTCCTACAATTTTTTGGAAGTGTAAACTCTTCTATCCCATTAAAATACCACTTATAAAATATCATTTATAGCAGTAAGAAAAGGTTGATTCTGTTTACACTGTAATTATTAGGTAGGACAGAGGGAGAGGTAGGAGAATAAAATAAATATTTTAAGACAGGAAAGAAAAATTAACTTAATTCTGTATAAAGCAAAAACATAAACTTACTGTCCAAAAAAGTCATGATTATTTCTCAGAGATACCTGGCCCCTTAGTGAACCTGAACCTAAACACCTAAACGTGGCACCTGGTATTGTGATAATGGAAAGGGTGCACTATATGTGTTAAGGAGCCTGGGGTTTATTGTCATTAATCTTGTTTTAACTAGTTCTATGAAATTGAAAACCTTTTTCAAGTTGGACTGTCGTGATGTGGGATCACTTCATATGGTTCTTGTTAATAAGGAGATAAGTTAAAGCAAAGGATTCCTGTGCCCTCAGGTGGGGGTGTACCCAGCAGAAATCTCTCAGCTTGCAGGCACTACAATTAATCGGCTGAAGTCTCCAATGAGACTACACCACAGTTTGACCCCTATCTTCAAGCAATCTTGCTTCCCTTCCCTCCCTTAATAGGGAATTGACCCCAAATGTATTCTTTAACATACTGTGTCCCAGATTTTGTTATCATTACCTGAGGAACCCAACCTGGTACCTCATTTATTAAATAATCTTTTTTCCATAACTCTAGTTATGATGGACTCCTTGTTTATACCTCATTATCCTTTGATCATATGCTCTTTATGCCTTTGGTCATGTTAATTCTTCACCTGAATTTTAGCCATATCCTTCAAGAATGTGAACATCTCTGAGTGCTTCTTTCCAAAGAAACACACAGGCTAGCTCCAGAACCACTGATCTTATCTCTGGATAGGAACATTTAAAGCCCACCCAGTCAATTTTTATTTTATTCAATTTTTCTGATGTATGTAAATACTCCAATTTCCCTCAATTTCTTTATACTTGCTTTTCCCTGTAACTACATTGTGAGTAGCAATGGCTAGAGATAGTTCACTGTATTTGGTCAGTGATGGAGCTGCAGACACTTATGAAGTCTCCAGGGGACTAGCTCTGACACTAGTGTCCTTGGGGCATGCACATACCTCTGTCATGGCCTCAGGTGGGCCTCCTAGAAAATCTGAGAGCAAAAGAGGAAAATAGTCCCTTCTCCTTTTTTCTTTCAAGTCAATGGCAATGAGGTATTCCACACTCTAGACATGATAGCATGCTAGATGTTGTTGACAATGGTCAAGGGAAAAAGACAGGATTCCCACCAGCCCTTAGTCTTAGCATGTCGTTAGGGGAGCCCACCATTCTAATGCCCACAGTGTGAGCTGGTTGGACTTTCCCATGTGTGCAAAAGTGAAAGGTAAAGTTTTATTTTCTTTTGCCTCGACCCATTCTGGGACTTTTGGAGAAGGACAAGGAAGAATCTAGCATAGAGCAAGTCTCTGGAAATAAATGTTTCAGATATTTTGTATTCAGATATTCAGATGTATTGTAAGATGCATTTAGCTCCACCTCACCTCTTGTCCCCAGGGGCCTCCCCAAATATCAGGTGCAGATAGGATATGTTTTATTCACAGTTCCATTTGGTAAAGTTACACAGAAAGCATCAGAAAGAATTAGGAAAGTAACTATGTCTTCCTGTTATTTACTTGCATGTAGACAATTTTAAATGGGTCATGTTATATCTCCTCTACTATTTCCTTAGGAACAACTTTAGATTCTTTGTAAATCATTTCCCTTAAAAGAGTTATTTTGCTACATGCAAGTCACGAAGCCTCTCCTTTTATAGTTTTCTGCTCTGCCATCATAATTTTCCCTTTTTCAAGAGGTCAGTAATTTCTCAGAAGTGTGACTAGAGAAAAGTCAAAGAGATTCAAAGATTTACAAATCCAAGTGTTGATGGTTTACTGCTAATTATAGACAGGAGAGGAAATTGTGTCTTTCTAAACCATAAATTTATATATACAATTAAATCACACCATATAGCTTCTTCTCTACACTGGTGTTAGGACCACCACTAAGTCTGAAACACTCCCTTGAAAAAAGATAAGTTGTTTTCTCTAATGATACGATATCACTGCTTACCAATTAATTAAAAACATAAACTTACAAAAAATATACAGGTATATCTTGCCTTAAAAGTCCATTTTATGGAAATAAAGAATTTCAAATTATACACTAAGGATAATTTGCTTAGTTCTTCATAAGAGAATTCATGAAAGGGTTAATTAATTAATTTATTTTTAAAGTTTTTTTTTTTATTTCTGAGAGAGAGAGAGAGACAGCATGAGCAGGGGAGGGTCAGAGAGAGAGGGAGACACAGAATCTGAAACAGGTTCCAGGCTCTGAGCTAGCTGTCAGCACAGAGCCTGATGCGGGGCTCGAACCCACAAACCGTGAGATCATGACCTGAGCTGAAGTCGGACGCTTAGCTGACTGAGACACCTAGGCATACCCATAAAAGGGTTAATTTAAAAAGCAAGCTTTTCAGAGTGTCTGGGTGGCTCAGTAAGTTGAACGTCTGACTCTTGATTTTAGCTCAGGTAATTGTGGAATTGAGCCCTGTGTCGGGCTCCTTGCTGAGCATGGAGCCTGCTTAGGATGTTCTCTCTCTCTCTCTCTCTCTCTCTCTCTCTCAATCTCTCTCTCTGTCTCTCTCTGCACCTCTTCTCCACTGGCACTCTTTCTCTCTCTAAAATGATGTATAGGATCAATTGGTTGAATCAGTAGTTTGTGTCTGACTTTAACTGACTCATGGTTTG